GGCGTGAGCCACCAACGCCCGGCGATGGAGGTTTTCTTACATAGATCCTCAGCTCCACTCTGCACTGCAGCAGAAATTTTTATCAGGGTTTTGGAATTTGTCTACTAACAATATTTCAGATGATTTTTTATATGTGCTGTGCTTACATCTGGAAACCATTAGCCCAGGGGCATAATTTTAAAAATTGAAGCCCCAGTGTCATTTCAGTTGTTGGATTCTTCCCTATTACAAACTACAAACCAGCACTTCAAGGAATATCATGTATAAACCTAATTATAAGACTACCAAATATAATTTCAGAAGACTAGTAATGAACAAGTCTATTAATGGGATTGCATAACTTTTGTTGTAAATTACATGTGTGAAACATCTCAGTGAATTATATATGTAAAGTATGCCTAAGAATTCTTTGATGGGTGCTGCTTGATCATGATTTGCTTCCCATAAAATTAACCAGTTGCCTAAAGTTTTTGCTATGCTACCCACAGTAACCCCACAGGCATTCTCTGAACAAGCCCTGTTTCTGGCATAGGAGGAAATGAGTGTCCACAGAACTGACTGGTTAGCTGTGCAAAAGGCTGTAGATGTAGCCGAGTCGGTAGAATGCTTGCCTAGCACGCATGTAGTTCTAGCACACATGAAGTCCTAGCACGCATGAAGTCCTAGCACGCATGAAGTCCTAGCACGAATGAAGTCCTAGCACGCATGAAGTCCTAGCACGCATGAAGTCCTAGCACGCATGAAGTCCTAGCAGGCATGAAGTCCTAGCACACATGAAGTCCTAGCAGGCATGAAGTCCTAGCACGCATGAAGTCCTAGCACGCATGAAGTCCTAGCACGCATGAAGTTCTAGCATGCATGAAGTTCTAGCACACATGAAGTCCTAGCACGCATGAAGTCCTAGCACGCATGAAGTTCTAGCACGCATGAAGTCCTAGCAGGCATGAAGTCCTAGCAGGCATGAAGTCCTAGCACGCATGAAGTCCTAGCAGGCATGAAGTCCTAGCACACATGAAGTTCTAGCACACATGAAGTCCTAGCAGGCATGAAGTCCTAGCACGCATGAAGTTCTAGCAGGCATGAAGTCCTAGCACGCATGAAGTTCTAGCACGCATGAAGTCCTAGCAGGCATGAAGTCCTAGCAGGCATGAAGTCCTAGCACGCATGAAGTCCTAGCACGCATGAAGTCCTAGCAGGCATGAAGTCCTAGCACGCATGAAGTTCTAGCACACATGAAGTCCTAGCACACATGAAGTCCTAGCACTCAAGAAGTCCTAGCAGGCATGAAGTCCTAGCACGCAAGAAGTCCTAGCACGCATGAAGTCCTAGCACGCATGAAGTCCCAGCACGCATGAAGTCCCAGCACACATGAAGTCCCAGCACACATGAAGTCCTAGCACACATGAAGTCCTAGCACACATGAAGTCCTAGCAGGCATGAAGTCCTAGCACACATGAAGTCCCAGCACGAATGAAGTCCTGCACCCCATCCCGGTACGACATCTGACCAGGCATGTGGCAGAGCTGCTATCCCAGCACTCAGGAGGTGGAGTCAGGTTGATCACAAGTTCAAGTTCATCCTTCCTTACACAGCGAGACTAAGGCCAGCTTGGGCTACAAGAGACTTCCTAAAAATAAAACAAGGGGGCAGCACTGGCCCTTAGCTAGAGGACCCAGGTTCAATTCCCAGCACTCACTGGACAGCTCACAATGATCACAACTGTCTGTAATTCTAGTTCCAGGGGATCTGCCACCTCACACAGATACACATTCAGCAGATCGTCAATGTATACAAAATAAAACAGATCATTTAAAAAAACTCTACCCCTCAAGAAACTAAACAAAACAAAATTCCACTAACCTTTTGGTTATCAAAAGAAAATGTAATTCTTCAGCTTTAGGGTTGTTTTAGAATAATAACTAAAATTGTATACTTGGTTGAACAGTATACAGTCTCCTGAAGTTACAGATGCGTCTCTCTAGTTTCCCAATCTTATAATCTGACTAGACTATTTTTTAACCTAACTCATCAACAATATGCTTATTTATTATTTTTGTTTCTTTGAGACAGGGTTTCTCTGTGTAACAGCTTTGGCTGTCCCAGAACTCACTCTGTAGTCCTGGCTGGCATTGAACACACAGAGATCTACCTGCCTCTCCAGTGCTGGGATTAAAGATGTGTGCCTACATGCCCGGCTGACTGTTTTCATTTTTAACCGGCTAGGCTTCCCAAGAATTCCTTGCCACTTTAAGGTAATGTTATGAGCCTCTCGAGTCCTCTTTACAGAAACAGTTTAGATACACAAACAACAGAGAAAAATATTTAACTTGGTGATATCATTACACCCAGATAATTCAGAAACTAAATATAATTTTTCTTTTTTCTACTTTTTTTTTTGGCTTGACCAAGTTGGTTGGTTAATTCCTCTTGTTACACCAACTAATTACTCTTCTTTCTCATATGTTGAGAAAGATCATTCTTGAGTATTATCAGTTATCTTTATCTTTATTTTTTCCCTTTTACAAATTACAGTTTAAGCAGGAAGGTCACTTACCCTGAAAGTTTTCTTTCTCTTCTTCCTTTTCCCCTTTCCCTCTCCCCCTGTTTCTCTGGCACAGGGTCTCACTGTGTAGTCCTGGCTGGCCTGGAACTGGTGCCTAGACAAAGGCTCTCACCTTGCAGGGATCCTTGGGCCTCTTCCTCCTCAATGTTGGGTGACGGACGAGCATCACCGCACCTTGCTTGAAAGCTTTGCTCCCTTACAGCCAGTGGCATCCTGCTTGTGCTGGCCTAGTAAAAAGGAGCTCCAAGAGCAAGACACCCACAGTACAAGTTGGAACCTTTCATACAATGTAAGTAAGAATTGGCTCCAAGTCACCGTTCTTCAAGAGCCAAGGGTCTCTTCAAGAGGGAACCCAAGGGGTGAGTTCTCATAAAAGGACTGCCACACTAAAGATAATTCTGTGACACCAGAATACAAGTGTATCATAAAACTTCTGAAACACTTTTTATCTTTCATGAGATCATGGGGAAAATCTAGTAGCCTTAATTTCAAACATGCGACTTCATGTTCAATGCTACCATATTTGGACTTGCTCTACAGTGTTTGCATTTGGTTCAGCTGAAGTAGCTGGGGAACAAGGAAGCTAATGCTCTTCTCTCAGGGATCGTACTTTTTTGGATGACAGTGGAAGGGACTAGTGGGGTTCATGGGTAGATTGTTTTTGGGGAAATATTAGTGATTTTTGTCACTTTCTCTGTATACTGATAAACACTTTAACTTTACAGAGAAATAAAGCAGCGTGAAGCTGGAGAAAAGGATGCCACAAGGAGGAAACAGTAAAAAGAACAGCGTTCTAGCCCTCACACACCAAGTCTCCAACTCTTTAAGTCTCTTCCAAAACCTGTTGGTGATACGGTTTGCGGGACAAGCACTTTACTGAGAGAGAGTTAAAACTCTCTCTCTCTCTCTCTCTCTCTCTCTCTCTCTCTCTCTCTCTCTCTCTCTCTCTCTCTCTCTCTCTCTCTCTCTCTCTCTCTCTCTCTCCCCCCCCCTCCCTCCCTCCCCCCTCTCTCCCTCCCCTCCTTCCCTCCCTCCCTCCCCCCTCTCTCCCTCCCCTCCTTCCCTCCCTCCCTCCTTCCCTCCCTCCCTCCCTCCCTCCCTCCCTCCCTCCCTCCCTCCCTCCCTCCCTCCCTCTCTCTCTCGGTTTTTTGAGACAGGGTTTCTCTGTATTGTTTTGGAGGCTGTCCTGGAACTCGCTCTGTAGACAAGGCTGGCCTCTTTTTAAACTCTTAAGAGACGTTTTCCTTCGTGCATCCATAAGAGATACGGGCGGTCATGATTTCAGCCCGTCAAACTCCAAGGCCAGGTCAAGGACTAATGATTTGTTAATGAGTGTGTTGACAGCCAGGTGTCCAGAAAAAAGCAACAACAACAAAAACAAGCAAAACAAAACCAACCAAACAACAACAACAAAAAAACGGTTAGGGGTCGACTCCCTACAAATTCACTGTAAGCCCCGCTGGTGACACAGTTTTGGATTTCAGAGATTTGCAGGAGTTACGGGGGCCAGAGACAGGGACCTTTTTTTTCCACGGTTGCTGACGAAAAATCACGGCGCAGACGTAAAACGTCCTCACTTCCCCTGGAGCGGTTCTCACCCCGGGCTCGGGTTAACCGCGCCGGCCCGACAGGGGCCAGCCCCCGACACGCTCAACCACGGGAGGAAGAGCGGCGCTCGCACTCAGCGTGGTGCGCGCCCGTCCCACCTCGGAGCAGAGTCGGCAGCGGTCGCGAAAGCATCTCCCCGGGTCAGCCCCCGCAGCGTTGACGGGCGTCGCAGCCAGCCAATGGGCGTGCCGGAGGCGGGACAGACAGGCGCGGGAGGGCGGGATTTCCCGCGCGGCCGCCTCTGAGCGCCTGCGAGCGGGCGGGCCGGGTCAGCTGCCGCAGGCGGGGCGGGGCGGGGCCGGGGCCGGAGCCGGGGCCGGGGCGGCGCGCCGAGCTGTGGGCGGCTGCTGAGTGTCCTGCCGCCGCCCAGCCTTCGCCACGATGCCGGGGATCGACAAGCTGCCCATCGAAGAGACGCTGGAGGACAGCCCGCAGGTGAGCCGCCGCCGGTGGCCGAGGGCGGCGCGCGGCCTAGCGCGGGGGGCCCGGGCGGCCTCAAGTGCCCGCGCGGCGGCCCAGGTGGGCGCCGCCGCCCCCGGGGAAGGTGGGGCGGTGAGGGTGTCGCCGCCCGCGGGGACCGCGCCCTACACTCCCCGGGCCGGGCTGGAGAGGCCCGCGCGGCTGGGCGGCGGAGGCAGCGGCCTTGGCTGTCTCCGGCGGGGCCTGGCGCTGGCCTCCGCGCCGGCTCCGCTTTGCGTTTCTCGGGAGGTGCGGCTGTTATCGCGATGGTACGGCGTGCGGAGCTGCGGCCCCGGCCGGGGCGCTTTTCCCGGGGAGGCCTGGCACGCCCGGGGCGGCAGGAAGGGGCTGCGAGGCCGGGTGTGCGTGCAGCGCGCCCTGCTCCCCGCCGTGTGTCGGTGCCCGCCCGAGTCCCCCGGCCGGTGGCTGTCACTTGAGCTGTGTGCGTCCCCCCCACCCCACTCCGCGGGGCACGGAAGGCGCCTGCGCTGCTGAGCCTTCGGCTGCAGGCTTGGCCCGGGGGGAAGGGGGGGCGATCGGAATAGAAGCCCCGTCCCGTGCGTTGGGGATGGTGATGTTGCTGGTGTGGCTGCTCTGGCTGAAGACAGTCTGGGGAGGTAAAGCTGCAAGGTTTCTTTCTCGGTGCTGAATGAAGTCTGTTTTGAAAGGTGTTAGGGCCCTCGGGCTTGCGTCAGCTTCGTCCCCAGGCCAGCTTTTGTATGTAGTAAGAACACAGAACAGTGTTGCTGGTGGGTTTCTTAAATAGTGCTTGCTGAGAAATACCTTATTTCATATGCGTTTTAGAGTGTAGAAAAAGGGCTAGAGCTTGCTTTCCTGGATGACACTTTGCTGTGGATTTTGTGCCAGCTTTGATTTCCAGGTTGAAGCTGGGCTCTGATTGTAGGATTGATTTATTCTTTCTTATTCTGAAAGCTGTCTTCAGTTGCTCAGACGTAGCATCCCCTTTATCAGGCAATATGAGAGAGAGACGCCCACGTTTTTGGGTTATCTCACAGCTGGTTTAAATTTCGCTTAAATGACTCTCTCGGTGTAAAGTCTTAAGTTATATTTATTCCAGATGATATGCAACAATTTTGTGGTTGTGTTGGTCAGCATAATTTTATCTTTTTAACTTTTTTAAAATTAAGACTCAATACACTGTCTGAACGTGTACTTTTTATAGCTCGTAAAGATTATAAAGAGAATGGTTTGCATAGTGCCCTATCCGTGACTTCGATGTAGTGGTAATCTTAAATTTCCCATGTAATTAGTTTACAACTTGAGTCAGGCTTATTCTGTAGCACAGGCTGGCCTCAGACATGGACCCCTCCTGTCTCTAACTGGTGGTTGCAAGCTTGAACCACAAGTACTTGCTTTCTTCTTCTTCTTCTTCTCCTTTTTTTTTTTTTTTTTTTTTTTTTTGGTTTTTCGAGACAGGGTTTCTCTGTGGCTTTGGAGGCTGTCCTGGAATTAGCTCTTGTAGACCAGGCTGGCCTTGAACTCACAGAGATCCGCCTGCCCCTGCCTCCCGAGTGCTGGGACTAAAGGCCACCACTGCCCGGCTCACAAGTGCTTTGAGTTCCTATTGTTGCTAATTTGGGTTTGTTTTACATTGGGTGCTCCGGCTGCGTGTGTTTGTGTGCCACTTGCACGCTTCTTTCCCACGACGGCCAGCAGAGCGTGTTGGGTCCCCTGGAACTGGAGTTACTGATGTTTGGGAGCACCGTGTGGGTGCTGGGAATTGAACCTGGATTGTCCAGAAGAGCAGTCAGTGTGTTAGCCACTGAGCCATCTCCCGCCCCTGTTTTTTAATTTAAAACAATGATTTCTTTGGGACTGGAGACAGGATCCAGGACCCTGCACTTGCTAGGCAAATACTGTACCAATAAGATAAATCCTCAATTTTGCTTTTATTTTATGTGTGTGCATGTGTTGTAATGTATGTGTTTGCATGTCTGTGTATGTGTGCTCATGTGAATGGAGGCCACAGATTGATTTATCTTCCTTGATTGCTTACCATCCAGGGTCTTCCTCTGAACCCTGGGTTTGTTAATTCGGGTAGTCTAGCAAACCAGCTTGCCCCAGGTATCCTGTCTCTGTCTTGTAAGTGTTGAGAGTACATGTGACCTCTGCACATGCCCAGTTTTACATGGGTTCTGGGGAATCTGGACTCTGGTCCTCAAGCTTGCAGGGTGAGGGCTTTATCTACTGAGCCATCTTGCCAGCACTGTTAGTATGTGATTGTGTGTGTGTGCAGCTGCTTTTGTCTATGCGGGCATGCAGAGGCTGGAGGACAACCTCAGGCGCCGTTCCTCCCCAGCCTGTACCTAGCTTGTGTTTTTGAGACAGTGTCTCCCCTGGAGACTTGGGTCTCTCATGGGATCATGTAGGCTTGGCTGACTGGGCGGTAAGCCCCAAGGATCTGCTTGTGGACGCCTTTCCAGTACCTGCCACCACACCCAACTTTTTTACCTGGGTGCTTTTTAGCTAAAATGTCTTCACAGTATCCTGAATTAAAAGTTTCAAGCCTGCATATTTCCCTAAGTGACTTAACAGACATTTTAAAATGTTTTTATTAGCATATATTAGTAACATAACAGTAAGTTTTATTATGACAGTCTATCTTTATTGTATTTGCCCTTTACCTCTATTGTTTTCCCTTTCTCTTCCTAACTAGAACTCTTACTCATGTCTTCTAAAAAGATTTTTGTTTTGTTTTGAGAGGAAACTCCTGTGATGTGTGTTGCTAGTTCAAGAGTTCCCTCTGCCTCAGCTTTCAGAATAGTTGGGACTATAGCAGGTGTACTGTGTCCGGCTCCTATTGTTGAACTTTTAGAGGTTTTCCAAAGTTCTGCCTTTGTAAATAGGACCGAGCTTAATGCTTTTGGGACCATTTGGCAGATGTGGAGGGTTTTTTTATTCGGGGAAGTGAATGGGAAGGGGAGAGGGGAGGCTGGCTTCTGGGGACAGGAGTGGCAGAAGAGAAGGGCAGGGAGAGAAGGATGGGAAGTGGGCAGGGCCCTTTTAAAAGGGAATGTAGTGAATGTGCACAGGTGGTGCTCTCAGTGGCTGCAGATGAGGGCGTGTCTTGTCAGAACCCCAAGGGCAGGCCAGGACAGATGCCTGATTACTAACAATAGCTTCTCCAGCCCCAGCAAAATGGCCTATTAGTTGCTAAGTAGAAAAGTTAGAGCTTGGGAATCATGAAAACTCCTTAATTATAGTTACCTATTTAAGATTTGCTTTTTTATTGTTGGAGCTTGAATTCAGCTATATTTGCGTGTTTTGTTTTGTTTTTCAAGATAGGGTTTCTCTGTGTGCAGCCTTAGCTATCCTGGAACTTGCTTTGTAGATCAGGCTGGCTTGGAACTCAGAGATCTACCTGCCTCTGACTCTGGAGTGCTGGTATTAAAAGCATTTGACACTATCATGTGGCCTCTGGCTTATTTTTTTTTTTTTATTTTGATTTACAATAAAGCTTGTAAAGTTTAAATCTAATTTATTTAACATAAGGAGAAAAATTTAAGCCTCTAGTAAGACTTGTCTATGCTGTTTTGAAAATAGGGATCACAGTGAATTTTTTTTTGAGACAGGGTTTCTCTGTGTGGCTTTGGAGCCTGTCAGTAGATCAGGCTGGCCCCTACCTACCTACCTCTACCTCCCGAGTACTGGGATTAAAGGCAAGCGCCTGTCGAATCTTGTTAGTTAGTTAATTAATTATTATTATTTTGGTCTTTTGAGATAGTTTCTTGGGGCTAGGGAAATGGTTCAGTGGTTAAGAGCACTGGCTGTTCTTCCAGAGGACTCAGGTTCAATTCCCAGCACTCACATGACAGCTCACAACTGTTTGTAACTCCAATGCCAGGGCATTCGATACCTTCATACAGACATATATGCAGGCAAAAATACCAATGCACATGAAATAAAAATAAAATAAAAAAAGAAAGAAAGAAACAGGGTTTCTCTTTGTAGTCCTGTCTTGGAACTCACTCTGTAGAACAGGCTGGTCTAGAACTCAGGGATCCACCTGCCTCTTTCTCCTGAGTGCTGGGACGAATGGCATATATCACTATGCCTAGCTTTCAGAACAGCACTGAGAGACAGGGAGCCGACCACTGGAGTGCAGAAGAGTCTGCCGTATCTGTCCAGTCGTAGTGCATGTGTGTAGTCTCAGCTACTGAGAGGGTGAAACACGGTGATAATAGGGAAAAAGGGAAGCTTTGGCAAAGTAGAATACTGAGACTGTGGACTTCCTGTGTCACAGAGGTCTTGTGCCATACCCTACCTTATACCCAGTTGCCTGAGTTTGAATACAGGAAGTTAGTGAATAAAAATGCAAATTCTACCCAGGTGTGGGTGGCTCACATCTGTAGTCTCAGTATTTCAGTTCCTGAAGCAGAATGAATGCCATGAGTTTGAGGCCTGCTTGACCCTATCTTAAAAAGAATAAACTATATGTGTGTATTGGGTTGGGGTAGTGTCATCCTTTGGATTTTAAGCTTTAATTGTCCTTTAGTTACTTTATTTTCTTTCCCTCTTTCTTTTTTTTAGTATGGCCACTATGCATTGCTTCCTGTTTTTAGGTTTAATTACAGGAATTTTAATTTGCAAAAGCACATCTTTGTTCTTCTTGCTTATGCTACTTTTTGTTTGTTTTTCTTTTGAGGTAGGGTTTCTGTGTAGGACTGATGTCTTAGAACTCTCTCTAAGGACCAGGCTGGCCTTGAACTCAGAGATCTGTTCCTGTGCTAGAATTACAGGTGTGTACTACCATGCCCAGCTTTTATGCTGCTACTTTAATGAAATGAAACAGAATAAAAAATCCTTTGACTTCTTGACATTATTATCAAAAGAGTTTAAAGAGATTAAAAGTCAGAATTACTAGAGTTCTTTTAGAGTGCTTTTAGAAAGTGTTTCAATGTCTGATTTATATACTGATTTATATAAGCTTATAATGTTTTCTTTTACAGACAAGGTCTTTACTGGGTGTATTTGAAGAAGATGCTACTGCTATTTCCAATTATATGAACCAGTTGTATCAAGCTATGCATCGGATTTATGATGCACAGGTAAAGAATTAAAAGGCCAACACAATACTGGTTAAAGAGACTCTCTCAGCACACGAGGACAGAGTTAGTGTTTACTTGACTCGTTCTTAGGCCCAGAGTAATGTCTGTTGAAAGGATGAATGAACTGCGGTGGTTTAACTAGGAATGGTGCCTTCATTAGTATTCAAACCTATTGAGTGCTTGGCCCATAGGGAGTGGCATTATTAGGAGGTGTGGTCTTGTTGGGGGGGTGTGTCACTGTGGGGATGGGTTTCGAGGTCTCATATGCTCAAGCTGGCCTACTGTGGCATTTGCTTCTGCTGCTTGCGGATGAAGATGTAGGACTCTCAGCTCCTTCTCCAGCACCGTGTCTGCCTGCATACTGCCATGCTTCCCAAAATGATGGTAATGGACCAAACCTCTGAAACTAAACCAGCCCCAGTTAAGTGGTTCCTTTATAGAAGTTGCTGTGGCCATGACTTCTCTTCACAGCAATAGAAACCCTAACTAAGACAAACACTAAGTATATTATATTACAGAATTTATGTTTCAGTCAAATTTGTAGTACTAAAAAAGTGACAATATTGTCGGGTCCATCCCATCTCCTCATAGTGAGAACTTTCTTACTGGAATTCACTGATAGGGAATTGACTGAAGACCCCATATTGTATTTTTCTTAATCATGCTTTTAACTTTAAGGAGTCCCTTCCTTTTTTTTTTTTTAGTAAAGGCTTTGAAAGTAGCCATAGAAGAAGTCTATGACTAATTTTTCTTGTAGACTAGACATAAAACTTGAGGAGGCTATATTTGTATAATTTATAAGCTTTAATAGCAGCCTGTATTGTTTTGATGTACTCTATTTTATTTTCCATCTCCTTCTATCTATTGCTATGATAGTTGTGTCCTTGTGCCCCCCCCATGATAGGTTTTACATGGCTTCATTTTGGCCACAGATGTTCAGTTAATAAGTCAGTATTATTATATCACAACTGGAAAAAACTGAATTAACCAAAATGTCATTCATCTGGCCGTGTTGCTTTGTTATATCCTATGTTAAACATGTTGTTACATTACTGAATGCTCATATTCTTTAGATTGAAGAATAAGTCATTCTCAAAGAATCAGTACAAATTTTGCTGACATTATGTACAGTTTACATCTAGCTTTAAATATATTTAATGCTTAGTTTTCACTAGCAGAAACCCTCAAAACAACAACAAAAAAACCAGGTAACAGGCATATACCTGAAGGTGGCTATGGTAGTGCATGTTCTGTAATCTCAGCACTTGGGAGGCAGAGGCAAGGGGATCAGAAGTTCAAGGCCGTCTGTAGCTACATAGCAAGTTTAAGGTGAGCCTGGGCTACATGAGTCCGTGTCTTTAAAATGGGAAAGAAAAGAAAAAAAGTACATACCTGTAACATTGCTGAATTCTTTGACAGTGCCTGTCTTCTGGTCTGCATTTTCTTTTGAAACACTTTTAATGATAGTTCCTTTTCCATTGCTGAGAAGTTAAAAATATGTGTATGGTAGTAAGTCAAGGGGACTTAGATACCATCAGTTAACATTTTTCTTAAATGTAATGTTGTGCTAATTTGAATCCTGATCTTTTTCCTTAGAATGAATTAAGTGCAGCAACACACCTGACTTCAAAACTTTTGAAAGAATATGAAAAGCAGGTACATATATCAAAGTTTTAAAGCATGATTTAACATGTGTAATTATATACTATCTGTATAGCAAACTTTTACATTCAGAAGCTTTTATTTTTGTGTTAGAGCAAGGGTTTCGCCATATAGTTCAGGCTGTTCTCAAACTCGTGGTCCTCCTGCTTTGGCCTTCTGAGTGCTGGGATTCCAGGCATTCACCACCATGCATGGCTTCTTAGGACTTACTGAGCTTATAAAATAGGCTACTGAAATTTCACTAAGTCATTATTGTTCGTGACTTAATGTTAGAACTAAGGTTGTCTGCTTTTCCAGCTTTCTCCATTTTAGTAACAAAAAAACTGGCTTTGGTTAAGGTTATGCTGTTAGTTGTTGGAAGAGCCTGAGCTAAAGCCAAATCTTTGAAATCCAGTATATCCTGTTAGTTGATTACTTAACAGACATTTAAAACTGCTTATTAATTATGAAGATTATTAAAAGCATTTTGGAATATGTTCAAAGTTTTTGAATTCTAAAATTACTTGAAAGCACAAATTGTGTTATTCATAAAAAAGGTGGTGGTGGCATGCACCTTTAATCCCAGCACTTGGGAGGTAGAGGCAGGCGGATCTCTGTGAGTTTGAGGCCAGCCTGGTCTACAAAGCTACACAGAGAAACTCTGTCTTGAAAAGTCAAAAAACAACAACAACAACAAAAAAAAAACAAAACAAAACTAAAGCCGCAGCATTGAGCATTTATCTCCTCTGCATTTCTTCCTTTTTAGCGGTTTCCTTTGGGGGGTGATGATGAAGTTATGAGCTCTACTTTACAGCAGTTTTCAAAGGTTATAGATGAGGTAAGTTTTGATCTTGCTTGAATAGGTGGTTTTATAACTAAGTTACTTGTTACTCAGCTTTTACTGAAAACTATAAAAATTTTATTACATTTCATTTATTGTGTGTGTGAGTGTGCGTGCGTGTGTGTGTGCGTGTGTGTGTGTGTGTGTGTGTGAGAGGGTACCACAGTGTGTGTGTGGAGGTTTGAGAACAACTTTCAGGAATAGGTTCTCTCCTACCATCTCCGTCCTTGGGTTAGTATCAGTCATCAGGCTTGGTAGTAGGTGCTGATACCCACTGTGCCATTTCTCCTGCCTTTATTGGGGGACCCCGTATAGTTATGATTCTGTAAGAAGTTTTGTTGCAAAGGGTAGTATCAAAAGGCATAATTTCTACATCATGATGGCTTTTATAAAGTCAGTATTTTCTTATCTAATTAAAACATTATTTTCCCAAGAATCAGCTTATACATGGGCTTCATCTATTTCTAACCTATGAATCATTTGTTTTCACTGTTATTTGATGTAGACAGAGAAGAGTGAAGCTGTCTGGTGTAGCTAGGCACTTTGTGGGTTTTTTTTTTTGCCATTTAGCAACACTTTACTGTTCAGTTCTCATTAATCCATGCAAAGTATCCAAAATTAGTTTTTAATTTCTAAAACCATTAATCCTATCAGACCATAAGACAATAACAACACAAAGGCCTAGAAGTTAGAAGAGAAGCACTGAGATGTGTATGGAGAACGTAACTGTTCTCTACTCTTACTGTAAAAGCAAGCTGCGAGTGTTTGTGTGATTATTCTCATATATGTACTCTTGCTATGCTTGGGATCTAGCACAGGACACATGTAATGTCTAGCTAAGTCCCCAACCGCTGATCTATAGCCTAGCCTCAGTTTTTCTAGTATCTTAATAACTCATTATAGCAGAATTTTGTCTGAGGCTATCAGTGTAAGTAATAATAGTGCTGGGTAGGGATGTAGCTTAGTGGTGGAATGCTCGACTAGCATGTGCGAGCACCTCGACTAGCATGTGTGCGCACCTCGAGTAGCATGTGTGAGTACCGGGGTCTGACCCCTGGCACTTCAAGTAAACAAAACAAAATGCTTACAGGAAATGGACTTTTTCTATTTTTTAAATTACCGTAAAATACATTAACATTCATGATATTTAATCCATTAACTGTATTGTACAACCATGATAGTTATCTATAGCAAGAACATTTTCATCCATGGGTGATGGTGGTGCATGCCTTTAATCCCAGCATTTGGGAGGTGGTCTACAGAGTGAGTTTCAGAACAGTCAGTGTCACACGGAGAAACCCTGTCTTGAAAAAAATAAAAAAAAACACAAAAAACAAAATAAAAAACTCATTTCATCATCCTAAAAGAATTTTTTCCCCTTTAATCTGTCACTCCCTCAGATTTTTCCAAGTCTTTGGCAATGATTACATTTTGCTCTCTGTGTCTATATATTTGCCTGTTTGGATATTTCTTTTCTTTTTTTTTTTAATTTACTTTAAAAAAATTAAATTAGAAACAAGCTTGCTTCACATGCCAATCCCAGCTCCCTCTCCCTCCCCTCCTTCCCGCCCCCCACCAGCTCACCTAGCCCCTATCCCACCCCCCCTCAGCTCCCCAGGGAGGGTAAGGCCCTCCCTGGGGGAATCTCCAAGTCTGTCATATCATCTGGGGCAGGGCCTAGGCCCTCCCCTATGTGTCCAGCCTGAGAAAGCATCCCTCCATGTGGAATGAGCTCCCAAAGTCCATTCAGATGCCAGGGATAAATACTGATCTAATACCTGAGGTCCCAAAGATTGCTGAGGTCTCCTCACTGACACCCACGTTCAGGGGGTCTGGATCAGTCCCATGCTAGCCTCTCAGCCATCAGTCTGGGGTCCATGAGCTCCCCCTTGTTCAGGTCAGCTGTCTCTGTGGGTTTCTCCAGCCTGGTCTGGACCCCTTTGCTCATGAGTCCTCCCTCTCTGCAACTGGGTTCTAGGAGTTCAGTTCAGTGTTTAGCTGTGGATGTCTGCCTCTGCTTCCATCAGCCACTGGATGAAGGCTCTAGGATGGCATATAGGTAACCCAGTCAAAAAAGATAAACATGGTATGTACTCACTCATATGGGTTTTAGACATGGATCAGGGGAGTCCCAGCCTACAATCTCAAATCCAGAGAGTCTGGGAAACAGGGAGGACCCTAAGTGAGATGTACATGGTACCCCGGAAAAGGAGAATGGGACAGGATCTCCTGAGCAATTTGGGAGCATGGGGGGAGGGAGGGAAGGGGAGAGGGAGCTGGGAGAAAGAGAGGGGAGAAGAGGGGGGGAGGATGACATGGGGAGCAGGAAGGTTGGGGGGGGAGGGGGAAGAATAGAGGAGAGCAGGATGAGAGATACCATAACAGAGGGGGTCATTCTAGGTTTGAGGAGAGATCTGGCACTAGTGAGATTTTCAGAGACCTACAAGGATGACACCACCTGGCAAATCTAAGTGGAGAGGCTGCCTTAAATGCCCCCGGTAATGAGTTTGATGACTTCCTTATATGCCATCCTGTTTAAATATTTCTTATAAATTAGCCTGTGTAATTGGTGGGTTCTGAGGTGTGTCTTCTTTCATTTGAATGTTTATCTGTGCCAGTACTTCATTCCTTTTTCTTTCTTTCTTTCTTTCTTTCTTTCTTTCTTTCTTTCTTTCTTTCTTTTTGGTTGAGTGAATTTCATCGCATGGATATATAGTGCCACATTTGTTTATCCACTAGTGTGTATTCTAGTTATGACCATTCATTGACCATTCATATACTGGCTTGATCACTTGTTTTTATTTTATTTTATTTATTTTTTGTTTTTTTTTCTAGACAGCGTTTCTCTGTGTAGCTTTGGCTGTCCTGGAACTCGAGACATAGACCAGGCTGGCCTGGAACTCACAGAGATCCGCCTGCTTCTGCCTCCCGAGTGTTGGGATTAAGGGTGTGCGTCACCACTGTCCAGCCATATTTATTTATTTATTTATTTATTTATTTTTGTTTATTGGTATTTTGCCTGAATGTCCATCTGTATGAGGGTGTCAGGTCCCCTGGAAATGTTCCAGACAGTTGTGAGCTGCTTTGTGGATGCTGGGAACTGAACCCGGGTCCTCTGGAAGAGCGGCTAGTGCTCTTAACCTCTGAGCCATCTCTCCAGCACCAGTTTCATCTTTTAAATACCAGCTTTCAGTTCTTTTTTTTTTTGTTTTTTTGTTTTTTGTTTTTGTTTTTGTTTTTCGAGACAGGGTTTCTCTGTGGCTTTGGAGCCTGTCCTGGAACTAGTTCTTGTAGACCAGGCTGGTCTCGAACTCACAAAGATCTGCCTGCCTCTGCCTCCCGAGTGCTGGGATTAAAGGCATGCGCCACCACCGCCCGGCTCAGTTCTTTTTTTGATGTGTTCTCAGGAGTGTGGTTAGCTTTTTGAGGGATCATCAGATTGTTTTGTGTGTGCCCTATAAGCAGCATGTGAGAGTTCTGTTTTTTTAATCCTTGATAGCAAGAATTTTCATTTAAAAATGATAACTATTTGAGCTGGATGGTGGTAGCGCATGGCTTTTTTAATTCCAGTACTTGGGAGACAGAGGCAGGCAGATCTCTATTGAGTTCAAGGGCAACCTGGTGTACTTGAGGGAGTTCCAGGGCAGCCAGGGCTACACAGAGAAACTGTGTTGCAAAAAACCAAAATAAACAAACAAAACCCCCAAACAACAAAAAAGTAACCATCTGATGGGCATGCAGTGGTGTCTCATTGCCATTTTGACTTGCGGGTTTTGGACAGCTGCTATGATACGGAGCATTTTATTTTTTTCATGTAGTCTTAGGGGAAGTGTCTGTTCAGATCCATTGCCCATTTTTGAATGGGTTATTTGGTTTTTATTATTAAAATGTAAGAGTTCATTACCTAGATTCAGGTTTCTTCTGAGACCTAGTTGGCAAATATTTTCTCATTCTGTTTATTTTCTTTACTTTTTTTTTTTTTTTTTTTTTGGGTTTTTTCGAGACAGGGTTTCTTTGTGGCTTTGGAGGCTGTCCTGGAACTAGCTCTTGTAGACCAGGCTGGCCTCGAACTCACAGAGATCCGCCTGCCTCTGCCTCCCAAGTGCTAGGATTAAAGGCATGTGCCACCAACGCCCGGCCTTTCTTTACTTTCTTGATAGTGTCTTCTGATGCACAGTTTTTATTTTTTATTTATTTTTTTGTTTTGTTTTTCAAGACAGGGTTTCTCTGTATTGTTTTGGAGGCTGTCCTAGAACTCGCTCTGTAGACCAGGCTGGCCTCGAACTCACAGAGATCTGCCTGCCTCTTTAATCCCAAGTGCTGGGATTAAAGGCGTGCGCCACCAACACCCGGCCAGTTTTTATTTTAATAGAGTCCATTTTAACATATTTTGTTGCTTGTGCTTTTGATATCATATCTAAGAGAGTGTTGTCCTAAATTTTCTTATAAAAGTTTTAGACTGGGAATGGTGGCGCACACCTTTAATCCCAGCACTCGGGAGGCAGAGGCAGGTGGATCTCTCAGTTTGAGGCCAGCCTGGTCTACATAGTGAGTTCCAGGACCACTAGAGCTATGTAGAGAGATCCTGTCTCGCAAAAGAAAACAAATAGAAAAAAAAAAAGACATTTTTCCCCCTTTTTTTGGGTTTTCAAGACAGGGTTTCTCTATGTAGCTCTGGCTGTCCTAAAACTCACTTTGTAGACCAGGCTTCGAGTTCAGAGATCTGACTGCCTCTGCTTCCCAAAAGTGCTGGGATTAAAGGCATACACCACCACTACCTGGCAGGAATTTCTTTTTTATCATGTAATATTTTGTATTATACTACATAATTTTTATTGTTTTCATTTGTGAAAAATATAACAAAATTGTAAAAAAGACTAGATTCAAATTTATATAACATTGGTAAATGTCTATGTCTAGACATTTATTAGCTGTGTCATCTGTTAGTTATTTGGTCTCTGTGGTCTTTCTTTTACTAGCTTAGTTCTTGTCATGCGGTACTTTCAACTCAACTTGCCGATGCCATGATGTTCCCCATTTCCCAGTTTAAAGAAAGAGATCTGAAAGGTATTGAAGTCAATCTTGTTTATTTTCATCAGTTGTCAGAAGATCTAGAGTGCATTTTATTTCTTACCTAAAGCAGTTCTGGCCACAACATGCCACTTTTACTTTAAGCAGTTACTAAACATTTATGGAAGTGCTTGATATAACTAGTTCCTAACAAATAATAATGACCTTTTTTCAGAAAGGTGATGGTTAGCAGTAGAGAGTGTCTCATAATTAGCGAATGAGAAGGTGCTGTGGGGTCTCAGAGGAAATGGTCAAAAAGGCTTCCCACAGACACAACATGAGCATTGAACAGTGAAGCTAAATGTGTTAAGAGAAAGGAGTTATTCTGTTAAGGAGATGGAATTCACAGAGGTATATAGGTTGATAGAAATCTGACACTTATTCTGAGAATAGTAAGACATCCAGCGCTGGGTATACTAAAGCAAGACAAGAGATGAATATAGAAACCGATTAGATGGAACTAAAGCATGGTAAACATGTTGGACTTCTGTGAACAAAACCACGCCAATGGATTCTAGAGGATTAAAGAAACACAGTGCTCTTGTTTACAGAGGGAACAGAGTGGATTTGGTGTCTAGGAGACTAAGAAGTCGGGAGAGTCCGGTGAGGGAATGAAGGGGACTGAAAGATGGCAGTGGACAGCGGAGCTTCATAAAGGCTGGGGGCTGAGGGCACAGGCACACCCAGCAGCCGTAGTAGTTAGCGGACTCACTAGTGGGCAGTATTTTTCTCTCTTAAGGTTAGTAGGCGGCCGGGCGTTGGTGGCGCACGCCTTTAATCCCAGCACTCGGGAGGCAGAGGCAGGCGGATCTCTGTAAATTCGAGACCAGCCTGGACTACCAAGCGAGTTCCAGGACAGCCTCCAAAGCCACAGAGAAACCCTGTCTTGAAAAAACAAAACAAACAAACAAACAAACAAACAAAAAGGTTAGTAGGCGATCACATGAGTGCCTTATAGATCTGGTTCTTTTTAATAATTTATAAACTCCAAGTAGGTAAAAACTAAGCATATCAGTGAATGATAAAGTGTTTAAAGACAAGTATCTTTTAGAGATGGAGCTAATAACTGAAACGATCCTTCAGAATGGTCAATTCCAAAGAAGAAACAAGAATTCATAATTTAAGACTGAATGGCCTAATCTTTTCTTTTTCACTCATCATTTGAAATTGTTAATCACATACAAAAGCAACAAATTAATATGTTAGAATCTAGTTTGTCAGTATTTATATTGTATTTGTATTTCTTAGCATTTAAGGTGGATTTTAATACTTGTTTTGTCTCATATTTGTGGAAATGACCTTCTGGTGGCTAATGATTTTGAATGCTTTATAGAATAACTGAAGCTAACTTTTTCACCTTGCCTATAAATTCCTGTTTGGGTTTTAGTTATGGCTTACGTGGTACTAATTGCTGTATAAATATAATAAAAATATTTCATAAATATGCTAAACTGAAATTATTTTTGAACTTTTTCAGAAATACTGACACTAAAAGAGGTGTTTCAGATTGCTAGTAATGGTAAGCCCTGAATATGTTACACATTAATTTCTTTCATTCATCTATTTATCAGTGTACATCATGGCTGATTCTTTGTAATAACTTCTAAAAATTGACTCAATTAAATGGTTATGATAACATTAAATCAGTGGAGATAGTCTGAATATACTTTTTACAAAAAAATGTTTGAATGGCTGTTACTTCAGTCCTACAGTTTACTATCCTAATTAATGCCTAAAGAGGGTGTAAAATATTCTCTTTTATTCACTTTGTAAATATTACCGTTTTCTTTCTTCCTCTCTCCCTTCCCTCTCATACTCTTCTCTTCCTGTGCTGGGTCTTGAAGCCAGGGCCTTGAGCATGCTGGGCAAGCCCTCTCCCACTAAGATACATCCTCAGCTCTCCTGTTTTTTAAAGAGTTTTACAACTTTGAATTAAGAATAATTTTTCCTTTTTATTTATTCTTCTCTTATACAATACCTCCCAACCATAGTCCCCTCTCTCCATCCCTCCCAGTCATTTCCCTACTCCAGATCTACTGCTTGTCTGTTTCCCTCAGAAAAGAGCAGGCACTAGCTTCTTTGGAAGTTAGTGTTTTCTATCAGTCTGATACATAGTAGCATAATTTAAGGGAAACTAAGCTGTGAAGAAAATTTGAACATGGTGATCATGTGGTAGGAAATGCTTAAGTAGCTCTAGTACAGTTGTAGTTTTGCAAAGTATGGTTGTACTGTTAACACTCATTTCTGTTTTCCAGATCATGATGCTGCAATTAACAGATACAGCCGATTGTCAAAAAAGAGAGAAAATGACAAGGTGTGTGTACATACTTTTCAAAACATTTTTAACTTTTTTTTTTCCTTGAGACAGGGTTTCTCTGTGTAGCTTTGTAGAACTCACAGAGATCCGCCTGCCTCTGCCTCTCGAGTGCTGGGGTTATTAAAGGCATGTGCCACCACTGCCTGGCTCATACTTTTTATGTGTATAGATGCTTTGCCTGCAGGTATGTCTGTTAACCATGTGTGTTAAGTATCTGGGGAGGCCAGAAGAAGGAGTCAGAGTCCTTGACACTTGAGTTTCAGGTGGATGTGAGCCACCATGTGAGTGCTAGCAGTTGAACCTGACTCCTTTGGAAGCTCTCTGAGCACTCTTAGCTGCTGAGCCATTATCTCTCCAATCCTGTATACTTTTTCAATCTCACAGTTAATGGCCATGTCATCAGGTGATTTAGTTTTTCCCGTTTAAAAATAGAGCCAACAGATCATTGCTGTGGTATTATGCTCAAGTTATTTTTCCTAGATGTTCAAAACCTTTTTGACAACCGATCTCTTTAAACAGAAATGTTTCTCTTCTGTCAGTATTTGATGTTATAATTAAACATAACTGTTTTAAAAGTGTAGCTGATTCCCAGTATATAAACTTGTTTTTGTTTTGTTTTATATTTTGATAATACTGCATGTTCTGTTTTCGTCTGACCACATGTGAATTCAGAAATACCTTGTGAGATACAGTCTATGCATGCGATAACAATTATGAAAAAAGAGGATATGAATTCAAAAGAGAACAGGGAGAGGTATATCGGAAGGTTCAGGGGGAGGAAAGGGATTAGAGAAATGTAATTAAAAGCCACAAAAAAGGAAAAAATTCAGTTTTGTGTTCAGGTTATCTGAGAGTATGTACATAAGTGTGTAAATAGGTATCCATGGTAGTTTGGTTGAGGAAAAGGTAGCCCTAAATTGAGTAACAAACACTGTCTAGAAACTCATTTAAAAGATCACATGATTAAAACCAAAAAAAAAAAAAAAAGTAAGTCACACACACATTACCTCAGTGAATTGTCACATACAGAATTCAATGAAATTCTGGTATGAGGCTTTCTCTACTTAAAGGCAATATTTAGGTTTTGATATTTCTTTAAGAAATGAAATCCAGAAGTATTACACAATATTTTAGGACAAATGTACTCAAGTAAAGGTTAAAGAGGATATTAAGTTGTAGGTGATTTCAAGACTTGAGATATAGCTTGTACCAGTGCTTGCACATGAGGGGATCTCTCTGCAGGCAGAGACACAGTGATGGCTTATGGGAATTGACAGCTGAGTAACACTTACTGTGCTGCAGTCATTGTGACAACAACAATGATCATTCCCCAAAACTGCTCTCTGTTTCTAATTTTAGTTCACAAATTACCCAATAAAACACACACAGTTTGTGATTTACATTAGTTATTTTGCCTTAGAGAGATACTTAAGGGTCTAGGTTATATAATTTGGCATATTTTATATTGCTTTTGTATTCCAAGTATTTTTAAAAAATCATCTTTTTTTAATTAGAAAAATTGTTGAGCATCTGTTTATCAAGCAGTATGTTGGATGCCTTGGGGGAACAATGTGAGTAGACTCCACTCTTGCTCTCATAGACATTCATTGAAGGCTTTTGGGTGAATGCATTCCAGAGCACAAGGATGGAGATACTGTAGATCGGCATGAGTTAAATGCAGTAATGGGGACTTTGCTAGTTGTACAGATAGAGCTTTATTGGTGAGTTGGAAAACGTTATACTTAGGAGGTGGCATGTGCAATTGTAGATAAGTAGACAACACTTTGGGGATTGAAAAGGACTTTCTTTAAAAAAAAAATCCCAACCCAAACAACAAAAATCCCTAAAACCAAAACAGTTTTTCTGTAGAGGTTGTGTTTCTGGAGTTTGGAGAATATAGGGTTTATAATTAGGGTTGAGGTGGGTAAGATTTTGGGGTCATGTCTGAGGTCTGCTACTACTTTACTTGAAGTCATGTACTAGTTACTTAATTCTATGCCTTTATTCTCTATGCAAAACAAAAATCCACAAAACAACAATTGTGAAAATAAAATTAGATAATGCAGTAGCAGTTTTAGCAAGATCCACTAAATTCTAAACATGTGACGATGGGAGGAAATCATTACCTTTCATCTCTTTGGATACGCTTGGGGAAAGAGGGCAGAAATAACGAAGTAGTTGGGGGCTGGGTGTGGTAGCTCACACTCATGATCCCAGCCTTGGGAGGCAAAGGTAGGAGAATCACAGAAAGTTTGAGGCTACTCTGGAGTTCAAGTCTAGCCTGGGCTACAGAATGGGACATTGTTTTACAACCCCCCTCTCCAAAGCCCAACAAAAAAAAAAATTGGGGCCACGTTGCTATATTTATGGCCTTGAAATTTGTGTTGGAGGAAGTGAGTAGTCATGAAAGGATTTTAAGAGGGTAAGTAACATGATACAGGTACGCAACAAGGCAGTAATGAGAATGTGAAAGGGATCATACTAGAGAGAATACAGTAAGGAGTACTAGAATACTTTGCAGAGTCATAATAAAGGTTGTGAGTTTTGTTTTTGGTTTTTCGAGACAGGGTTTCTCTGTGGCTTTGGAGGCTGTCCTGGAACTAGCTCTTGTAGACCAGGCTGGTTTCCAATTCACAGAGATCCTCCTGCCTCTGCCTCCCGAGTGCTGGGATTAAAGGTGTGTGCCACCAACGCCCGGCTCAAAGGTGGTGATTGAAAGAGAGAAAAAGAAGTTTTTAACTGAGGAGAACATGCATATTTTAAAGTGAGTCAAGGAAAATGAGCAGGTCGAAAGAGTGGTAGGGAGAAAACCAGGAAGGCACAATATGTGGTGTGAGCTGAGTAAGGTCAGATATTACTGGCTAAATAATAATCCATATGGTGGGTCTCTCTGTCATGCTTCTTGAAGACTTTACATTTGTAGTTGTATGCAGATAAGCATTTTGTAAGTGATATGCTTGGTAAACAGAAAAATCAGTTTACCTACTGTGTTAATGGATTTCCAATAGAGTAGAAAACAGGAAAACTATGGTCAGTGATTATTGATACTGTTTTCCTTGGTAGACTCTTCTTCACAGTTTCTGTTGAAGATAACTATTAATAATATTTTACTCTTCATTCAAAGGTAAAGTACGAAGTAACAGAGGATGTGTATACTTCCAGGAAGAAACAACACCAGACCATGATGCATTATTTTTGTGCATTAAATACTCTTCAGTACAAGAAGAAAATAGCTTTGTTAGAACCTCTACTTGGATACATGCAGGCTCAGGTAAATGCTAAGTATGTTTTGGGATATATCTGTCCTAAAGCCTTGTATTAGGTTTGATATTTGCATTAACTATAAGGATATTGTGAACTGTTGTCAACATACTAATTTGTATTGCCTTAAAAATTATTTTTAAAGATTGTCATGAGTGTCCTATTTTAATGAGGTTGGGAGAATGGTTTTCTTGCAATTGAAGTACTAAATGTTATAGAATCAGTGGAAACACATTGTATTCATACTTTTTCCACCACAGTTGGGACAGTGAGCAGAAAGCTGGGTGAATTTCAGAGTGCTGCCTAGTGTTGGAGCTTTTTTTCATTATTGCTTCGTAAGTCTGAGAAGGAATGAGCAAGTTCACTTTTGTCCTGAGTCAAAAATAGTAGGTGACGGGGCTGAAGAGATGTCACAGTGGTTAAGAGCACTGACTGCCTTTCTAGAGGACCCAGACAGATTTAATTTCCAGCACCTGTATGATGGGGATCTGACACTCTCTTCTGACCTCCAAGAGCACGAGTCACACAAATGATGCACAAACATACACATAGGCAAACACGCATACGCATACAATGAATAATGTAGTTCAAATGCCCAAAAAGATGCACATTAGAAAAGAGGCTAGAAAAACTGAGTTGGGGAAATATCAGTTCCTTAAAGTAATATGCCAGGAGATGGTGGTGCACACCTTAAATCCCAGTGCTCTGGAGACAAAGGCAGGTGAATCTTTGTGTTTTTGAGGCCAGCCTGGTCTATAGAGCAAGTTCCAGCACCACACAGAAGCCCTGTCTCAAAAAGAAACAAACAAAACAACAACACCCCCCCCCTCCGAAAAAAAAAAAAACCCAAGAAATTTGAGTATCCCTTCAGGCATAAGAGTAGCCTGAAGTCGGAGGAATGCTTGAGGCCACTCAGGGTTACACAGTGAGACTTTATCTCAGATAACACCAGGAACCTCCCCCCAGAATCATGAAAGAATGCATAGTGGAGTTTAATTCTCGTTTCTTCAGTGCTCTGTCTCTGGTGGATGTTGTAAACCACAGCTGGTTCTTTGACAAACCAAATAACCCATGTCATTGCTGTGTAGCCTGTGTCCTAGAAACCGCTGGTGTGACTCACTCTGAATGCCCTTGTGCGTGTTTGTGTTGTCTGCCTCCCCTCCTCCTCCTCAGATAAGCTTCTTTAAGATGGGCTCCGAGAACCTCACTGGACAACTGGAGGAGTTCTTAGCTAATATTGGAACAAGTGTACAGAAGTAAGTACTTTGTTTTCATTACAATGAAAATGAAATTATGCCAATAAGTTAACAGCTAAATGTCATAATTTCAACATTTACAACTTAATTTCATAAGGATTATGAGTGTATTTCTCAGCTTTATCACTAAATTTTGGAGTTTTTACTATCTTTTCCCTAGAATGTAAATTCTAGATTTCTTAGAACTGTGAAATGTGATGACAGTTTTAATAATTGAAAGCTAGCTTTTATGTTTGGATAATATAAGTATGTAACAGTAATTATCCACAAGTGAAATTTTCTTTTAAAGTCTCATTTGTAAACATTGTTTGGAAGGGGGCTAGAGAGATGGCTCAGAGGTTAAGAGCACTGGCTGCTCTTCCCGAGATCCTGAGTTCGATTCCCAGCAACCCCATGGATGGTTCATAGCCATCTGTAGTAAGATTTGGTGCTCTCTTCTAGCATGCAGGCAATCATGCCAAAACTGTACACATAATAAATAAATAAATCATTCCCCCCCAAAAAAAAGGAATGACAGTGTGTCCTAAAAGTTGGTGGTTTTCATCTTTAAAAAAAAAAAACATTACTTGGAAGATTACTAAGCCAATCTTGTTTTCTATGCTCTAGTGTTTAGAGAAAGACAGCGTTTCTGATCACCGTTGCTGTCTGGGTAGCAATGCTGTCAATCTGAGGTGTGGAGAGAGATGAAATTGGGACCTTTTCATTTTGGTTTTTGCAGTGCTGGGGCTTCAACATAGGTCATATCACAGAGCATTTTGAAAACTATTCTGTAGTTAGGTTGAACACTTTACTAGTGTTCAAATTTCATACTGTTTCCAAAATATCTAAGTTTTAGAAAACATTTAAAATGACTTTATGTTACTTTAACCATCTTGCAGTTGCTTCTTAAGTAGTTAAGTATGTGGGCACATAGGATTGGTGAGGCATTCTTTGTCGGTTGTGGCTGGCAGTAACTAGTCTGTTCTCTGTGTTAGTGTCCGCAGGGAAATGGATGGCGATGTTGAGACCATGCAACAGACAATAGAAGACTTGGAAGTAGCCAGTGACCCTTTATATGTGCCTGACCCAGATCCCACCACGTTTCCTGTCAACCGAAATTTAACCCGGAAGGCCGGCTACCTAAATGCTAGGAAGTAAGAAAGCTACGGTTATTTTCATTATCTCATCTTGTACTATCCAGTTAATGTAGTGTATAATAAATATTGTTTGTCAGATTGTTTTGGTTTTACTAAAGGCTGAAATCTTTTTTTTAATAAAAATACATTTTGTGTATATATTTCATTACTATGATTATTTTGTGTATGCATTTTCACTATCATGGTGGTTATTTTGTGTATGCGTGCTGGAGCACAGTTCAGGAGTGGAGGTGAGGGACGGCTTATTGGAGTTGCTCCTCTTTCCACCATGTGGGCGCTGGGGACAGAACTTAGTCACTAGGCTTGGTGGAAGTACCTTGAACCATTATGTCATGTTGGCAGCCCAAGGTTGAAACTTTTTAGTAGTGCAATTATATGAGTTTCTTGACAGATGGAGGTTCATGAATACTTTAAAAGTACTACCTTAAGCCAGGTGGTGGTGGTGCACACCTTTAATCCCAGCATTGGGAGGCAGAGGCAGGTGGATCTCTGAGTTCCAAGTCCAGCCTGGTCTGCAAAGCCAGTTTCAGGACAGCCAGGGTTACACAGAGGGACCCTGTCTTGAAACCAACAAACAAAAAAATTTACCTTAATATTTATTGAATAATTTGTGTTTGTAAAAGGGATGAAACAAAATTTGGGTCTAAATAAGCCTATCATAACATGTTAATATTAATCACATATTCAACCATGTGATGATATCAAGTCAAATTTGAGTTTTCATTTGAAATGGGCCAAACCTTTTTGACTCCCTCTTTTTTTTTTCTCTTCAATTATCAGGGATGGCCTGGAGCCCAGGCCCTTGAGCATCCTAGGATTACATGACCCCATTGAGCTAAGTCCCTAGCCATCACTTGGTACAAGATGGTGAAATAGATTAATCCTAGAAATAAAATTGAATTTCTTCCATTGAATACTGAATTGTAACTTGTATTTTTGATGTATCATTTTAACAGCTGCAACTTAATTTCTAGCCTTGTTCTTGAAACTGTATACACTTTCACACAAGTGAGTCAACATGTACAAAATCATTTTAGATGTCTTGTTGACATCTTTGTGCCTTTTTGCAAGTTGTTTTGTTTTTACATGCTTTTTCCTGTATTGGCTGATAAGGGATTTTTTAGGTGTTGTTATTAAAATATGAATGTACTTTCTTTAGTAAAACAGGTTTGGTGTCATCTACCTGGGACAGACAGTTTTACTTCACGCAGGGTGGGAACTTAATGAGTCAAGCCCGAGGAGATGTGGCAGGAGGCCTGGCCATGGACATAGACAACTGTTCAGTGATGGCTGTGGACTGTGAAGACAGGAGATACTGTTTCCAGATCACTTCCTTCGATGGAAAAAAGTTAGTACTTTTCTGTTGCTAATAAGACATATATTTTAAAATACAATGCAGAATAATTACTTTTTGTTTAATGTAGACATTGGAATTACTATGTATGAAAACTGAACTGAACCCCAAACAGCCTATAGAGGCATATTTATTGATTGCTACAACAAGTTGTTTTTTGGGTAAAGTATTCCTCATACCAAGGTCCCTAATCTGATCTATATGTCTCTCTCTGAAGGAAAGCATCACATGCCCTCATGACTTTAGTCTTCAGAAGCCTCAGTGCGCTAGAGGCACCTTGTGACCAAAATCATGTGAAGGCTGCAACATCCCTTCCGTAAAACAGTTTTTAAGTCATGGAAAACAATCACTGTTTTCCACAAAGGTTCCATAGTGGTTTCTATAAAGATTCTTTAAGATTAAAGTACTTCAAGAAAACAACTATTCACTCTAATGTTTACCCTAGATACAGTGAAAACTGTTCATTCTTATGTTTACAATGGCTGCTAAATTCCTACAACAGTGTACTAAGGTAATGTGCATCCAAGTTTAATAGTCGAGTTCATTTTTTTTCTGCTTAATTAAATGATTTTTTTCAATACTTTGAAGTTGTCAAAGCAATACATGGTGCAAACTTGTGATTTCATGTTTGAGACTAGTCACTGAAAAATCCTGCACAGTATTGGGAAGGCAGTGCAAGTTAGAATGCCAGTCATGGGTTGTTATTTTATTTACTCTGTGTTCTTGGACAAGTTGCTTATAATCCTCTGACTTCTGTTTTTCTATACATCAAATATAGGCAGAGGAGTTGTACTGTCAATTACTGTGAGGAATAGAAATATGACGTACATAATGTGCCCATATGTGATGTATAGATTCTGACAATAGTCTTTTTAAAAAATTTATTTATTTTTATTTTATGTGCACTGATGTTTTGCCTGCATGTATGTCTGTGTGAGGATGCTAGATCCCCTGGAACTGTAGTTACAGACAGCTGTGAGCTGCCATGGGGGTGCTGGGAATTGAACCTGGGTTCTCTGAAAGAGCAGCCAGTGCTCTTAACCACTGAGCCATCTCTCTGGCTCCCTAACGGTAGTCTTATTTTGAAATGTTCATCAGTTACTTTTGGTTAGGTTAGTTTGTCCATTATTGTTATCAGACTTTTTAAAAAATTCTGTTACTTTTGCATTAAATGAGAATCTATCGAGTAGAACAATTCTTTTAAAAAACATAAATAGAATAGAAAAAAATTGTAATTTATTTATGCATTTTCTTTTTTCCTTCCCTTCTGCATCTCCTCTCTTCTCTTTTGTCCTGAGCCCACAATCTTTTTTTTTAAATTTATTTAACTTTATATGTTGGTGTGAAGGTATCAGATCACCTGGAACTGGAGTTACGGACAGTTGTGAGCTGCCATGTGGGTGCTGGGAATTGAACTCAGGTCCTTGGGAAGAACAGCCAGTTAGTTCTCTTAACTGCTGAGCCATCTCTCCAGCCCCTGAACCCACAATCATGAGCACTCTAGGCAAGTCTTTATCACATAGCTAGAGCCACAGCCCTTTTAAAAATTCCATTGTGTCAGGTTCTCAGTAAGTTGTCATGACTCGCCTTCAACTCGTGATCCTTGTACCTTAGCCCCTGAAGAAGTTTAAGAGTGTTCATAGTTTATAAGTGTGTTACCAGGCTTGGTCTAAGTATGTTTTCTTAAATAATTAAAGGATATTTTGTATACATAAATTGGATCTGCATGTATTTAAAAATGTATACACTGGAGAAGTAGCTCAGCAGTTAAGAACCCTTGCTGTGTTTATGGAGCATCTATCTGGGTCCAGTTCCAAATGCCCACATCTGGCAGATCAAAACTGCCTGTAGCTCCAGTTCTAGGGAAACTGACGCCCTTTTCTGGCTTCCAAGGGCACCTATACTTGTGTGGTGCACGTCAACTCACATACATATAAGCAAAGCAAGTAAGTTAGAAAAACATCTGTAATGGCTGTATTATAATCTTTAAAAAACCATACAACATAATTTAAACATTTTCCTAATGATAGATATTTAAGTCAGCTGAGATTGATTTTGACCTTTGAACTTTCTTATTATTTAGAAGAACCTCTTAAGTTTTCTGAAAGTCATTTTTTCTCCATCATATTTATGGAGATAACTTTGCTAACTGTCTTAGCTGCTTGGTTATCGTCCTAGTCAGTCCTTCTACAGACATACAATGAATGTCAGTGCTGTATATTAAGAGTTCTTGTTTTCTGTTAGCAGAATTTTTTTTTTTTTCGAGACAGGGTTTCTCTGTGGCTTTGGAGGCTGTCCAGGAACTCGCTTGGTAGTCCAGGCTGGTCTTGAATTCACAGAGATCTGCCTGCCTCTGCCTCCCGAGTATTGGGATTAAAGGTGTGCGCCACCAACGCCCAGCCTGTTAGCAGAATTATTAAATTGCTAACATGTTGCTACTAGTGTTTACATTTTTGTATTTTTAGTTTTTCCTAATGATTTCCCATTTTTGAATTTATGGTTTCCCATTTTTTCTGATATGATAGAAAATTAGTTAAATTTAAATTTTCTCTTAAAATATTAATATATGGACAAAAACTATATGCTATGTTAGTCATTCATATGTTGGAATCTTTGTTTAACCTATTGAGGGTGAAACTGTCAGTAATGAAACTAGTATTTTCTAGCACCTCCCCAACAGAGACACCAGGAGTTGAAGTGCATTTCCTCTTGTATGCTCTGTCTTCCGAGTGGACTGACGCTCCCCTTTGGTTTGGACTTTGGTGTGTAGATAGAGCCTTTTGGAGTTCAGTCTTCACCCCTGAATCTCTGATGGTCTTCTTTCCCTAAAGTATTGTCCCTTGTGTTTTTTCTTTAATTTTCAAGTTGAGGCTAAAACTTCACTCTTTTCTCCCTAGATCTTCAATTTTGCAAGCAGAGAGTAAAAAAGACCATGAAGAGGTAAAAATTTTTTATAAAATTAATTTCTTTAGCAACATTTAAAACTATTTTTCCTGAGAACAAAACATATTAATGTATTCATTATAGAAAATTTGGAAAAATCATAGTTAATTAAAACTCATGTTTAAAGTTCCCTGTGCTGAAATAGCAGTCTTAGTTTCTGACAGTTTTATAGCTGGAGGGACCTTAGCCATGTCTGTGCTGTCTTAAAGTATATCCAGCAATGACCTTGAGTGCTGCCTTCTGGCAGGCTTCGTGGCATGAGCTGACAGCTTCATGTACTGTCGTTCTCACTAATCTTTGAGACACTGCCCCCTGCAGCAAGAGCATAGTGGCAGAGATGACAGGAGCACCTACAGCTTAGAAAGACAGAGCAACAGAGATCTGGGAGTCTCTGCTCTTCCTTCCAAGCCTTTAGTTTTGGCTCCAGTTGTCCTCCTAGTACACCACGTAAGGAAGGTAAGGTGTTCTAGAGACTGCTACCTTAAAAACTTTTCAGAAACAGTCTTTGTGAAAATATACCCCAGCTTACTTTCAAGCATTTTTATTTAGTATTATAATTTTATTGGTAAAAGATGGAGTTGGGAATTCTGTAGAGACCTACATGTATTTATTTCTCATGGGAAAGAGTAGTTGTAGTCTTTGAGGACACTGATGTTTCTGTTCTCTGCATGGTTTACTCAGAGTATTAGTTTTGTGGGGTCTGGCAGGCACAGGAATCCTTGAGAGTGAGGCAGAAGATGTGGGATAGTGTTTGCTCTTTTGAAAGAAGGAAGATATGTAATATACAATACTCAGAAAGAATTTGTATTTTAATTTTTCTCATAGGTGTTATAGTAACTATGTTCATACTATCATATTTGGTGGAAAATAAGGAAGTGAAAGGATAAATGCATACTATTAAGTTATAATTTAACATGATTACTATTTGTTTCCTTGTATAAATAATTATTTAAAAATAACTAATCTGAATATCTCATACATGCATGAGTTTGTAGCAGGATGCCTTGTTTTGTTTGTGGTACTGGGGATTGAATCCAAGGGATCACATGTTTTGTTAAGTATATATTCTATCATTGAGATATATCCCCATCTCTAGGGTATTTTCTTATGAAGATTATGTGCTACTTCTAATGAAAGTTCTGCTTCAGTTTCAGATTGAATAGCTTTCCTTAGTAGGGAGGCTTTATTGGAAAAAATTAGTAATCACATTTTTCCTTTTCAGTGGATTTGTACAATAAACAACATATCTAAACAGATATACTTGAGTGAAAACCCAGAGGTACTGTTTTTTATTTTGTTATTCAGATCTATCAGAGTGAAGTAGTTTTGTGGTTTATATGGCTTTTCTTAATTGATTTCTTTCTTAAGTTCTGTAGTCTTAAGTACAGAATCCATATGATTCTGTTTGGGTAGCTACAGTGTGCCATGTATTGTCTGTCCCAGAACAGCGTGTTATTCCAAAATGTACTGAAATCATTTAGTCAGTTGATAGTGACAATTTAGCTTAGTGTCATGGAGAGGTAAACATGTAGGTGAAGCTCTGTGGCTTCTCTAGGAGTGAAAACGGGAACTGTGACATCGTATGCACTACATGTTGTGATGAGAAGCACATGGCTAAAACAGTGCACATGGTGATCATGTACAGGCTTAGATTGTGAGAATGTTAGGATTTTGTTTTAGAGAAAATTCTGTAGAGATGATAGAAGCCTGAGCTTTGTTGCAGATTATACAATAAAAACTAAAGCTTAGACACAGAAATGACATATAGATGGAACTAGCATACAGATCACCTGGAAATCTTATTCAAATACATGTTATGATTTTGGTACATCTGTAACGACATAGCCTGAACTTTGAGTTTGCAAATTATTCATTGAGTAGCAAGGGTTTCAGCCCTGGTGAGCCTCAGCTTGTAAACGTAGAAGTGCAGGTTGAACCCAAGGGTACCAGCAGTTGAAGGACGGAAGGACTGCAGTGAACCCGTGCTGTATGAGAGCTGGGAAAAGACGTGGTCCTTGACAGTCTTCGTGGGCTGCCTGTGCTGTAAACCCAGGTGCTTCTCAGAGTTGGGTAGGGACTATGATGTCAACTGAAAGTCTAAGTCTTAAACTCTTCCCCCTACCCTGACAGGGTTTCTCACATCTGCTGTCTCTGCCCCTCTCTGTAACCCAGATTAATGGCATATGCCACCATGTCCAGCTTAAGCTCCTAGTGCTTAATGGAAGGTTTGATAGGAGGGTCCAGTTAGTAGCTGAGTAAAAGGTGAAGAAGAAAATGATTAAGATGACTTCCAGGTTTTAAATTCAAAGACTTCATTTAGAAAAAAGAATTCTGTTTTTGTGAAAATGAGATGCCATCGAGGATATTAAAAATAATTTCACAAATAACATATTCTAGAAGTGTTCTTTTATATTTAATGAGTATTTCCTACTTCTAAATTTTCATGTTCTATAAAACATTTTTAATTAGACTAGGCAGTGTGCTAGGTGATAGTAGTACAAACCAAGATAACTTGTAGTTAAAAATTAATGGAAAAAGAGTATTTTCCTGTTGTATGTTAGTAGAAGGAAATTAGAATTATTCTTATAATATTTGAAATTAATGTGCCTTACTAGTAAGATCAGAGAGTGGAAATACCTCAGTAACTTTAGATTATTTTAAACACAACTAAAGAGTTTAGTGACAATTTTGAGAACTATATCAAACTTAGTTTCTTACATTATTAATACTAATTATTTTTTTTTAAACAACAAAAACAAAACAAAATAGGAAACTGCTGCACGAGTAAATCAGTCTGCTCTGGAAGCTGTCACTCCTTCCCCGTCTTTCCAGCAGCGACACGAGAGCCTGCGTCCAGCAGGGTGAGTTAGCATATGGGGTTTTTTAATGGACAGTATAAGCTATTTAAAGTGTTAGTGAGCAGTTTGATTTATAGTACTACTTAGGTAAGCACTAGATCATCCCTGAGTAACAGAAGTATATTGTCAAAATAATAAATTGATTAATAAGGGTTGAATGTGTGCACACCTTCATGTATTTGTGTCTGTGCAGGCCAGAGGTTGATATACTGGAGAGTTTTGTTTTTTAAGTCAGGGCCCCTCACAGACCTGGAGTTCATTGACTCGGTATGCTGGCGACCAGTGAGTTTCTTGTGAGTCTTCCTGTCTGTGTGCTCCAGTGCTGCTGTTGCAGATGCCTGCTGCCATGGGCGGCTTTTTTTTTTTTTTTTTATTAGGACAAGTATTAGAAGGTTTTCCTTCTTAGGCAGCAGGCACTTTATCTGCTAAGTCTCAGTTTATGTTTGTTTAATTGGAAAGAAAGACTCTTACTAAATAAATAGCAGGCTGATTTGGAATTAAGTTTTACTTTTTGAGTCAGGGTCTTGCTTTGTAGACCCTGCTGGCCCAGGACTTGTGATTCTATGCCTTCACTTCTAAAGGCCTGCACTACCACCCGGCTGCTAAGCATTGGACTTCATAAAGAAAAAACTAAATTCAGTGCCTTTTTGTTTTCCTTTGTCATTAGACAATCTCGGCCACCGACAGCTCGAACCAGCAGTTCAGGATCCTTGGGATCAGAGTCTACAAATTTGGCTTCCCTGTCTCTAGATTCTCTTGTTGCCCCAGATACTCCAATACAGTTTGATATCATTTCTCCTGTCTGTGAAGATCAGCCTGGCCTGGCAAAAGCCTTTGGCCAAGGAGGCAGGTGAGTGATGATGTCACTATTTGTGATGAATTTATGCATCAGCTATGTTGTCTCTCATGTAATTGCCTAACAACATTTTCATAATTAGGATAGACCCATACAGATTCTGCTGTTTTGTTTGTTTTTTTTTTTTTTAGGCTTCTGCATCAATTAAAGATATTAGGATAATCAAATGTCAAAAAATTTAATACTGAATTAATTATCGAGTCAATTACTTGGGCATTTGCCCCGTCAATTACAGGACAATGACAACTCTATCTTTAGGATGTGACACTTTTAAAAATTCTATATCAGAATAAGGGGCTGGGGATGTAGCTCAGTTGGTAGAGTTCTTGCCTAGTGTGTGTGAAGCCTTGGATTCAGTCTCTAGCACCACATAAAACCTACGCATGCGGGGCTGGAGAGATGGCTCAGCGGTTAAGAGCACTGACTATTCTTCCAGAGATCCTGAGTTCAATTCCTGGCAACCACATGGTGGCTCACAACCACCTTGAATGAGATCTGGTGTCCTCTGCTGGCATGCAGGCAGAAGACTGTATACACAATTAAAAAAAAAAACCTATGCATGCTTACTTGCTCATGCCTGCAGTTGTAGTACTTGGGAGTTGGGAGTAGGAGAATCAGAAGCTCAAGTTGGCTGGGCGATGGCACACACCTTTAGTACCAGGACTCGGGAGGCAGAGGCAGGCGGATCTCTCTGAGTTCGAGGCCAGCCTGGTCTACAGAGCGAGCTCCAGGACATCCTCCAAAGGTACACAGAGAAACTCTGTCTCGAAAAACACAACAACAAAAAAGGAAGAAGCTCAAGTTGTTTTGGCTATGTAGCAAATTCAAGTCCAGTTTGGACTGTATGAGATGTTGTCTTGATGATGTTAGTGATGAGGAAGAAGGATACTCTTCTTCTTAATGAACCATTCAGTTCATTGCTCTCTAGTAAGACGTAGAGCTCTGACCATGCAGACATCCGCACATTTTCTGAAGAAGAATACTCGAGGCCCGGCAGTGGTGGCACACACCTTTAACTCCAGCAGCCGCACTAGTTAACCATAGAGGCCAGGCAGTGGTGGTGCCAGCCTTTAAATACCAGCATTAAAGAGGGATATAAGTTAGGAGGAGACGGGGGTCAGTGTGCAGTAACCCTGAGGGCAGGATCGCCCCTTCCTGAGCCTTGGTAGAGGCAAGAACTCCATAGTAGTTGGTTGCATTGCCTTTCTGATCTTCAGCTAGCTTTGTTAGGTCATAAACAAAATATCACCACAATTACTTCATCTCGATGATGATGGTGATGATGAAGATGATGAAGAAGTAGAAGACGAGGACGACTCTTGTCAAAGTGCTTATTTGCTTTTAGGGGGACTGACTAGAGAGATGGCTCAGAAGCTGAGAGCACTCACTGCTCCTGCAGAGTGTCAGGTTCAGTTCATAGCACCCACATGGCAGGTCACAGCTGTCTGTGACTGTTTCCAGGGGATGTGAAACCTTCTGGACACAGATTCCTGAATGCATGTGGTACACAATAATTTATATAGACAAACATGCATACACATAAAGAAATCAACTACGGTGAATCTTTATTAAGGAGGTTGGGCACTTAATGCATTAAATTTGGATATGACATTGATATAGTCATGAAAATATGTATAAATATTCTAAGCATGTATAGCATTTGATAGGATAGGCCAGGGTGCTATGAAAGAGATCAGTGTTGGGCTGGAGAGATGGCTCAGTGGGTAACAATTCTTGCTGCTCTTGCAGAGGATCCAGGTTGGGTTCCCAGCACCTACATGGTAGCTGGTAACCATCCATAACTTCAGCTCCAGGGATCTGAAGCTCTTTTCTGGCCTCCACAGACGCTGGACACATAAATACACCTAAAATAAGAATAAATGAATAAATGAATGTGTTTTTTTTAAAAAAAGAGGTCAATGCCTTATTCCTCTGTGTGTGTGTGTGTGTGTGTGTGTGTACACATGTTATATATTTACAGATGCACACATAGATTTATGTGCAGGGTTGTGGAGGACAGAAGGGATTCAGGTGTTGTTTTTTCAGTGCTATTCCTCAGTCATTCACCTTTTTGATAGAGTCTCCCAGTGACCTGGATCTTGTCAGGTTGGCTGGCTATCCAATAAGCCCCAGGGATCTACCCTTTTCTGTCTCCTCAGTTGGGGATTGCAAGTGTGCTCAACCTTGTTCATTTTTTTGGAGGGAGGAGGTGGAGGTGAGAGGGTATTTGAGAGACAGTGTCGTGTCCGTCCGTCCCCCCCCAGACAGGCTTTCTCTGTATTGTTTTGGAGGCTGTCCTGGAATTTACTCTGTAGACCAGGCTGGCCTCGAACTCACAGAGATCCACCTGCCTCTGCCTCCGGAGTGCTGGGATTAAAGGCGTGTGCCACCAATGCCCGGCTGAGAGACAGTGGTTCTATGTGTTTCCTTGGCTGTCCTAGAACTAGACTAGTCTTCAACTCCGATATCACCTGCCCCTGTCTCTGCCTCCAGAGTGCCTGGATTAAAGATGTGTACTACCACACCTGGGTGCTTGGCTTTTTACGTAGGTTTTGGGGATTGAACTCAGGTCCAACTGAACCATGTCCTTAGCCCCTGTCCTGTTTTCTTAAAGCCATTATTTTTAGACCACTGCATCTAATTGCTTTGAATTAAACTTTTTCCTTCTGTCATTCTGATTGTGTACAAGCTAAGAGCAGGAAGGGGAGGAGGAAGTAGTTTTAATCTTTGGCTTACTTTTCTCCTTGCATTGTTACTTATATCTTGAGAAGTACAGAGTTTAGTTTTGTTTCACTTCTGTGTGTGGTACTGGGAACCAAACCCAGGCTTTGTGTGCATCCTAGGCAAGCCCTAGGCAAGTATGTATATGTGTATGTGTATATATATATATATATATATATATATTTATATGTAATACTTATATATAGACCCAGCTGTAGGACATACAACTAACAGGAAAAAAGAAATACATGTTTTGAACTAGACAGTGTTTAAATCGTTATAATTGTGGTTTGTACTTAAAGAACCCAGACTGGAATTTTTACAGTTCTAGGAAACCCCTGGCATTTTTACATTAGTCTTCCTCTTTGTTGACTTGTTTAAAAGAGAACCTTTGGAAAATTGTTTATTATGAGGATATTTTGTTGTGTGTGGCTAAATTTATGCCTACTAGATAAATCAGTCAATGCAGAGACATTGTCTTGGTTTATTATTCAGTGTGAGAGTGAAGCTCACATAGTATTCTGGTTATCCTATTGTTCATTAACAGAGTGGGACATTCTAGAGCTTTTCTTTAAAAACATGTAAAGTTTTTTTTAACTCTGGTCTCTTCTATGTGTCTTGTAGTGACTGACCCATCTGTTCATATTTTTCCTAAACGTCAGGCGTACAAATCCATTTGGAGAATCTGGAGGAGGCACGCAATCAGGAACTGAAGGTAGGACAGACTGCAATGCTCTTAAATTCTAGAGTGACCCTGCAGTAAACTTTGAAATGTGTCATTCGCATTTGTTCTGCTGCTATGCTCAGTTTTGATGTGTCCTTCACAATCTTCTCAGCTCTACTCGTAGTGCTGCTAAGGCAACCAGGAGAACCTAACCTGATTTCAGAAGTTATTCATACATGATTGTAGACTGTCATAGACTTTTGACCTTATGGTCAAATTCTTAGTACATAACTATCCCTTGAGCTCTTTTTTTCTATTTTTTGAAAAAAAAGTTTTCATTTTCATCCTCCCACCCTCAAGACCCTTGACTTCACTAACCCTGGCTTTTGGCGGGGTTTCCAGTACTTGGAGTGCTTTCCCTCTTGTTGACTTGGAGCTGAGAGCACCAAGGTGTGTGCAGCACTGTCGCACCTTAGGATTGCTGTGCTGTGCTGGGCTGTGCTGTGCTGGGCTGTGCTGTGCTGGTGGCTGTGGTTCATAGGTGGGGGTGGTTTTGGTTCCTAGGCGTCATAGCTGGGTAGGACTGTTGGTCCCTTTGTCTTTTGGACACTTGCATGGTGTCTCTTGGTACCATGGAAGCTGGTTCTCAGGAAAGAGGCTGTTCCAGGTCAGGGATCTCTGGGGCAACCAAGGGTAATGGTGTCTGGGGCAACCAAGGGTAATGGTGTGTACTGTTCTAGAAGTCTTTCAGACAACCCTGACCAACAACTCCTAAAGAGGGCTTCTTATGCCTGGTGTTGGAGTTTTGTTAGATGGTCTTTGGCTCTTGGAGGGAGCATTGTCAGCCCAAATGAAAAAAATCTTCATTTAAACTCAATATGTATATTTATTTATGCAAGGCTTATGTGTATTATATGCTTTTTCTCCCTTAGGTAGATAGTTAATCAGGCATCCTAATTGTTATTTTACCTTTATCCTTATGTATCTCCCCCCTTCATGACTACAGCCACTACTCTTATCCCCATTTCCCTGATCAGATCAGTTTTATCCTCTCTGTTGCTTCCCCTAGCCCTCATCTTCACAGTGGTCCCCTTTTGTTTTCCTGGTTTCTGTAGTTACTCCAGGATGTGTACTCACATCTGAACACTTGGAGCTAGGAGCCTCAGATAAGAGAAAGCATGTGATGTCTTTCTGTGTCTGGGTCACTTCACTCAATATAAGCTTTTCTAATTCCATCCATTTACCTGCAGAGTTTATTTAATTTTCTTTACAGTTGAATAGTGTTTCATAGTGTATATGTACTGCATTTTTATTACCTATTCAGCAGTTGAAGGACATTTAGTTTGTTTCTATTTCATGGCTTTTGTGACTATGACAGCAGTGAACGTGAGTGAACAGGTGTCTGTGGAGTAGGGTGTCAAAGCCTTTGGGAATATACCAAGGGAGTGGTCTAGCTGGGCCACTTGGTAGATTTATTACTAGCCTTTGGGGAATTTTCCACACTGATTCCCAGGGTCCTTGGAGCAGTCTGCAGCTCCACCACAGTGAATGAGGCTCTGTTCCTGCACAGCCTCTGGCACTTGTTGCTTGGTGATCTTTGCCATTCTGACTAGCTGTTTTGATTTGCTTTCCCTAATGTGATGAATATTTTTTTGAGATATCTCTTAGTCTTTTTTTTTTCTTCTTTTGAGAACCTCTCTGTTCAGGTTCCAAGCCCCTTTTTAGACAGGTCATTTGTTTTTTGTTTTTTTAACCCTTTGTTTTTCGAGTTTTTTATATATTTTGGATATTAAGCCTCTACAATTGTATAGTTAGCAAAGATTCTCTCCTGTTCTGTGGGCCTCCTCTTTAACAGTTTATTTCTTTTTTAAAAAAAAACTTTTTTTATTACTTTAATTTTAAATAGCTTGCTTCACATGTCAATCCCAGTTCCCTCTCCCTCACCTCCTCCCGCATTCCCACCATCCCCCCCAGCATCCCACCCTATTGCCATTTCCTTCCACATAGGAGATATCCAGAGTCTGTCATTTCACTCAGGGCAGGGTCCAGGCACTTCCCTAAGAGTCCAGGCTGAGAGAGCATCCCTCTTTGTGTTATGGACACACAGAGTCCGTTTGTATGCCAGGGATAAACACTGATCCACTGCTCAGGGCCCCATAGGTTGCCCAGGCCTCCTCACTGACTCTCACACTCAGGGGGTCTGGATCGGTCCTATGCTGGCCTCCCAGCTGTCGGTCTGGGGTCCAAGAGCTTCCCGTTCAGATCAGCTGTCTCTGCTGGTTTTGCCAGCCCATTCTTTGCCAATTTGCTCATCGCTCCTCTCTCTCTGTCACTGGATTTCATGGGTTCAGTTCAGTGTTTAGCTGTGGGTGTTTGCCTCTGCTGCCATCAGTCACTGGGTGAAGGATCTAGAATGGCACTTTTTAGTTGTTAGTTCTTGGTCAAATGGAGTCTTGCTTAGAACGTCCTTTCCTACATCATTATGCACAACACTGCCTGTGTCTCCTCTAGCATTTTCAGCGTTTGGGCTTCACTTCTAGGTCTTTGTCTGGAGTTGCTTTGTGCAAGGTGATATAGATAGGGTCTCATCTCACTCTTCTCCATGTGGACACCCAGTTTACTTGGCACCCTCCGTTGGAGGTGTGCTTTTCTTCAGGGTTTGTCTGACATCTTTGTCAAATATTAAGTGGTTTAAGTTACGTGTACTCATGTCTGGGCCTTTGATTTTATCCCATTGGTCTGTGTCTATGTTTGTGCCAATACCATATTGTTTCTATTACAGTGGCTCTGTAATAATATCTTAAGATCTGGAATTGTAATCCCTCTAGCATGGTTCTTTTTTCTAGTATTGTTTTGGCTCTCCAGAGTTTTTGTGGTGTCCTTATGAATTTTAGGGTAGTTTTTTGTTTCTATTTTGTGAAGAATGAGATGGGGATTTTGATTGTGATTAAATTGAATCTATAATAGCTTTTGGTAAAATGAATTTTTTCACAACATTAATTTTACCAATTCATGATCTTCCATTTTCTAGGTTTTTGTTTTGTTTATCTCTTCAGAGGTTTAAATTTTTTATTGCAGAGGCCCTTCACTTTATTGGTTATGCTTATTTCTAGAATTTTATTTTCTTTGAGGCAGTTGTGAATGGGAGTATGTCCACGATCCCTTCCTCTGGGTTCTTTTGTTTGTTTTGTTTTGTTTTACAAGACAGGGTTTCTCTGTAGCTCTGGCTGTCCTGGAACTCACTCTGTAGACCAGGCTGGCCTTGAACTCAGAGACCCACCTGCTTCTGTTTCCTGAGTGCTGGGATTGAAGCCATGCACCACCACTGCCTGGCTGTTCTTCCAAAATTTTGAGGTTTATCATTAAGTTATTGTGCTCTTTCTGATTTTTTTGATTCATTTATTCTTATTTTACATGCATTAGTGTTTTGCCTGTATGTATGTCTGTATGTATGTTCTAGAACCGGAGTTATAGACAGTTGTGGGCTGCCATGTGGGTACTGGAAATTGAACCAAGGGTCCTCTGGAAAAGCAGCCAGTGAGTGCTCTTAACTGCTGAGCCATCTCTGCAGTCCCTCTTTTTGATTTTTTAAATGTAGGTACTTAGGGCTGTAAATTTCCCTCAAAAGACTGCTTTCAATATGACCCAGAAATTTAGTTTTGATGTATTTTCATTTAGTTCCTGGAAATTTCTTCTTTCTTGATTTCTTCTTTGACTCATTTATCATCCACTAAAAAATAAGGAAGTCTCCATGAGTTTGTTGTAAGTTATAGATTTTATTGCTTTGTGGTCAGGTAGGATACATAGAGTTACTTCAGCCTTTCTGTATTTGGCTTATGGTGTTAATTATGACATTTTTCTGTATTTTTGTTCAGATGATCTGTCTATTATAGAAAGTGGGGGATGTTGGAATCAGTATTTATGGATTGATGTTACTCTGTCTTTAAATCCATTAGTACTTTTTTTAAAATAATGAAATTAAAGATTGACCAGTGTTTGGTGAATGTATGCTTAGGATCATAATGTCATCTTGGTTAAGAGTTCCCCTGATTAAAACAAAGTATCCTTTGTCTTTTGTGATTAGTTTTAGTTTGTTGTCTTTCAGCAGATACTAGGATAAGGGAAGCCTATTTGCGTCCTGGCTCCATGTGATTGGAGTGCTTGTGGTCCATCTTTATCCCAGGATAGTGCCTCTCTTTAAAGCTGGGTTTCTTGTAATCAGCAGACAGATGAGTTTGGTTTCTTTTCCTTTCAATCTGTGTCTTTTTTTTTGGGAATCCAGGCCATTGATATTTAATGTTATTATTTAAACGTGTGTGTTGTCAGTGGTGGTAGTGACACATACCTTTAATTTCAGCATTTGGGAGGCAGAGGCAGGTGGACCTCTGAGTTCCAAGTCAGCCTGTCTACAGAGTGAGTTTCAGGCTGGCCAGGGCTACACAGAGAAACCCTGTCTTGAAAAAAACAAACCCAGCCAAACAAATAAAAAAGAGATGTGTGTGTTAATTTCAGCCATTGTGTTATTAGTTCATAGTGTTGTGTTTTCAGTGGTATTTTGTATTTTAATAATTATGGCTTTATATTTGTTTCCACATTCCTCTCTTTAGCCAGAAATATTGTTTTCTTTAGGTTTGGTTTGTTGGGTAGAAAATTTTTTGGGCTATTTAGATTATAGAAAACCTTTTTTTGCCCTTCAATATGGCAGTTATATTAGTTTAGGCAGATTCTCGTGGTCTTTTATGACTTGGATGCATTACTCCAAAGTCTTCTGGCTTTCAAAGGTTCCCTTGAGAAGTCAGCTGTTAATTCTGACGGGCTTTCTTTCCTTTCCTTTGTGTTAGTTTTTTTCTCTTGCAGCTTTTATTACACTTTTGTTGTTATGTATACTTAGTATTTTAACTGTGATAAGATGTGGGTATTTTCTTTTCTGGTCTTGTCCGATATTCTGTGTGTTTCTTGTATTTGTATGGGTATGCCTTTCCTTAGTTTGGGAAGATTTTCTTCTATATCTTGTGAAAGAGCTGGACTATTTACTTGGGATTCTTTTCCTTCTTCTGTGCCTATAATAATTGAAGGTTTAGCTTTCATGGTTCCCCACATTTCCTGTATGTTTACTGTGTTTTTAAGTTTTTTTTCATATTCCTTGATTATTTGGTTTAACTCATCTACTTCATCTTCAAAACCTAATGTTCTATCTTCTGCTTAATGCAGTTTACTTGTAAGGCTTTCCCTTGAGTTTTCTAGTTGGCTTACTGTTGGGAGGCCCTTCTGGTCAGAGGTTGCAGTCTATGGCTTGGCAGCCCTCTCTGAACTGAGCAGCATGGAGGACTTCCCCTGTTCCTCACCAGTGGAGGCTTCCTACTCTGTCTGACCTTATTTGGAGAATGTCTCTAGGCCCAGATGCCTGACTTATCTCTAATGTAACCCTTGACACAGTTCCCTACAAAGTCTTTCCCCCTGCTGCCCATATGGCAGCTAAACATTGTGCTGGGAGCTTTATGATAGAAACGTCCTGTTTTATGCAAAGTAGGTGATGCCCCAGCCACTGTTCCCATCCTTTATATCTGCCTTCACTTTGAAGTAAAGTTGAGCTGTAACACTGAAGCAGTCTCCTGGAAGGCTGTTTCTGTTTCACTCACAGGTGGCACAAGGCTTTGCCTGCTGCTCTGCCCCCTTTGCCCTCACGGCCCCATGGCCAACACACCCTGGGGAAGAAGGGGAACCCCAGCTTTTTGAGTTTTTCAGGTCCATCCTCATTTTAGCTCAAGTCCTCTTCAGTGTTTCTGTCTCTTTATTCAGCTCTGTTCTCAAGTCCTGGATTATCTTCATTTCCACAGTCTTATGTTTGTGTTTTCTTGGACATCACTCAGCTGTTTGTTCTCCTTAATTTCATTGAGCTCTTTCTTTGTGTGTTCTTAAACTGTTCATTTGGTGACCTTTATGACTGTTCTTTTAAATTCTCTGTCTTGGGTTTCACCTAGGTAATTATCATTGGCAAACATTTATACAGCACTGGTAGGTTTTGGAGAGGAAATACTGGCTTGGTCTTTTCATACTGTTCATATTCTTGAAGTACTATTTGGGCATGTGGACTTCTTTTCTTAGTCTTATGACTGGTATCGACAGAGCAAGTTGGAGCACAAGAAAGGGTGTACAGGTGGCTGAGGCCTAAGGTGAGAAGTAGCTTAGGTGGGAGGAAGTCCAGTGGACAGAGTGGACTGGGCGGGAGAGCAGAGGGATGAGGTGTGGGAGGGGCTTACTGTAGGTTAGGGTAGACAGAGCAGGACTTGGTGAAATCCTAAAGGTTGGTTGAGGCTCAGGCTGGGGTGGCTAAACGAGGCCAGGGCAATTGCCCTGGGATGGCTGGGTTGGGTGGGGAAGGGTGTGTTCATTTTCCAGTACCTTTTTTCCTTTTTAAGACAGTTCTCGAATAACTAGACAGCCTTCAAACACTATGTAGCCAAGGATGACCTTGAACTCTAATCCTCTTGCCTCTCCTTCCCCAGTACTACGATTACAGGCATGTGCCAACATACCCAGCCAGTACTTGGGTTTGTTGCTGATTTACTGTGTGTATGTGGTATATGTAAGTGTGTGCATGTATATGTGTGTATACCTTCGTAGGTCAAAGGTCCACATTGGGTATCTCCCGCTGTCCTTTGCACCTGCTTTTGAGGCTTGTTGGTCAGCAATTCCCTCCCTGTGTCATTCTCTTATGCTCCTAAGCCCTGGGGTTACAGACACCGTCTGTCTCAGCTGCTCTTGCAGCCAGCTTTTATGTGGGTGCTAGGGATCCAAACACAGGACCTCATGCTTATGTAGCTGACACTTAACACACAGTACACTGAACCATCATCTCCAGCCCCAGCAGCTGTCACTCTCTCCCTCCTTCCCCCTCCCTCCCTCTCCCTTCTCCCTCCCTCCCCTCCTTCCTTCCTCCCTCTGTCCCACCCACCCATCTGTGTCACAGAGCCCTGGCTGTCTTGGAGCTCACTCTGTAGACCAGGCTGGGCTCTAACTCAGAGATATCCACCTGCTTCTGCCTCTCCATACTGGGGTTAAAGGCGTGCTCCACCATACCTGGCTGCAGCTATTTTTCTTAGATATAATTTTAAACTTACAGTAAAGTTATAGGACTAGTACAAAGAATTATTTTTATCTGGAACCATGTCTTAGTTAGGGTTTCTAGTGCTGTGAAGAGACACCATGACCATGACATCTCTTACATAGTATTTACTAGGGGCTGGCTTACAGTTTGGAGGGTTAGTCCATTGTCCTCGTGGCAGGAAGCATGGCAGCATCAGGCAGACACTGGTGATGGAGAAGGAGCTGAGAGCTCTGCAGGCAGCAGCGAGAAAGAGTGAGCCAATGGGCCTGGCTTGAGTTTCTGAAGCATCAGAGCTCACCTGCAGTGACACTTCCTCCAACAAGGTCACAGTACTACCGGGCACATCTCCACTAATGCCACTCCCCATGAGCCTATGGGGGTCGTTTTCATTCAGACCACCACAGACCATATCACTGTAACAGTATATTTTGCCGATTGAAACGGAGGCCTTAATTTTCCTATAACTTGAACACTGACTGTAGTGTTAAAGGTTATTTCAAAATTTCTCCTTTCGGTTTTATTTTTTTCATTGGAAAACCTAAAACCTTGTAGTATATTCTTTTGGCAAAGGACTACAGGGTTTAAAAATACATAATATTTAAGTAGAATGGCATACACTTGTAATACCAGTATCCAGGATGCTAAAGTACGGGAATTTGAGTTTAAGGCTAACGTGCTGCAAAGCCACAGACATCCCTCACCATAATGTACCCTGCTCTATTACAGACTCTATTCTTCATCAGTTATTTATTGTCCGATTCCTTGGTTCTATGGAGGTAAAGGCAGATGACCATCCAGATGTTGTTTATGAAACGATGCGTCAGATCTTAGCGGCTCGGGCCATCCATAACATCTTTCGTATGACAGAATCACACTTATTAGTCACTTGTGACTGTTTGAAGTAAGTAGTAACCCTCTCCAAACAAACTTACAGAAAAAATGATTCTTTAAAATTCAGCCTAATTAAAAAGTTGTCTTCCAAATTCTTAATTATTATAGGTTAATTGATCCACAGACCCAAGTTACAAGGCTCACAGTGAGTTCTATGTGATTAAAGCTTTAAGTATCTTTTGTTCATGTGTACATTTTATCGTTTGATAATAATCTGGTCCTATGTGTCCTAATACGACTATATCAATTAAGATTGGGTTTTAGGCTGTAGTTACATATACAGCCAGCTCCAAAAATTTACTGAGCACTCTATAAAATAAGGATTCAACACATTTTGGTACGGTTAATACTTTTTTTATCTCTAGAGAGTGTATATGCCAAAGAAATTAACAGTAGGAATCAAAACATGAACATAATTGAGTTCATTTTATAATTATTTGTTTCTTTGTATGTCTAAGTTATGTTTTTATTATTACTATGTAGATAATTTTTGTAGTTAAATTTGTATTGGTAAATATGTTATTGAGCAAAACTCATTATTTAAAAATCTCTCTTTGGTAATATCCAAACCAAATATGGCATTATTTGTTCTAGATTATTATTCTATTGAAAATTTGTCTTTAAAATTCTATTTACAATAAGTTTAGAATTTATCATGAGTTTTCATCATCTGAATGCTACTGTAGCGACTGGGAAGATCTCATGTTTATTTATGGTGTTTTGTGACAGTTTCCATTACCATGTGTAGTTCTGTATGCTACACACCAGGAAAATAAACGACTTTTTGGATTTGTTCTCCGGACATCAGGCGGAAGAAGTGAAAGTAGTTTGTCGTCAGTCTGCTACATATTTGAATCAAACAATGAGGGGGAAAAGGTACTGGCTTTCAGAATGTTTAGTTCATAAAACACCTATCAGAGTCACAGTTTTACCCTAGAATTTCTGGAAAAAGCTCTCAGGTTATGCCTCGCCCAGCTGAGCTGCATAATGAGAGCGTGTACTCTGGATCCAGAGAGCCACCCGATGCGTGCAGCCTGTCAGCTTCTGCAGACTGTTGACAGCTGGCTCAGTCTTCTGTTTCATTAACTTATCCTGAGAACAGTAGATGTTCCCATAGTCAGTCTTAGGTGTTACTAGTTTACATCGATAGATAACATCACCCGAATCCTTCATTCTTTGGATGACTTACTATCTCAGTAATGATGTTTTAAATTCTAAAGTTTTTTTTGTATTTTTGAGAACTTAACACATGAATGCTGTGCTCCTCTCCCTCTCCCCGCTCCAGCTCCTTCTTTGTTCCCCCGTGACTTTACTATAATTGGTGTGTGTACGTGTGCATAAATCACAGAGTCCTTCTAATGTTGCTTTTATATGCGTGTGCTTCGGGCTGACCACTTAGAACTCGGTAATCTACTGGGGCTCATCCCTGGACAAAACAGATTCTTCCTCTTTCAGCAGCTATCAGTTGCCTGTAGCTCTTCATCTAGGGGTAGGGTCTTGTAAAATAAATGCCCTCCATTTTCATTGCATGCCAACTGTTGCCAATTTTCAGGTCTTGTTAGGTAACCATATTGTTGAGATTCCATGGGTACATCTTTCCTGTCATGTCTAGAAGACAGGTGTTTTGGTCTTCTGGCTCTTAGTCTTTGCGACTCTCTCTTACGTGATTTTCCCTTAGCCTTAGGTGTAGGGTATCAATTAGGTACAGAGGTATCAATTGGGCCTGAGCACTTATAGTCACTGATTGTCTACATTTTGAGCAGTTGTAGATCTCTGCAATGGTTTCCATCAGTAATGAGTTTGATGTAATGTGAAGTAGGATGGGCACATGATGAGAGAAAAGCCAGCAGTAGAAGTCCATAGATTCTGGGGGAAAAAAATGCTGAAATTTTTTTGGTTGAAATATCTTTAAATAAATTCTTATTTAAACGTGTATGTTTTCTTGAATTATTATAAAACTAGATACATCATCCATTTGGGTATTTGAAAACTGTAGTGTAATAGGAAAGTATCTGAGGTCTTGCTTTTTCTCCTTTTAGATTTGTGACTCTGTTGGATTGGCAAAACAGATAGCACTGCATGCTGAACTGGTAAGAGTCAGAGCCACTTAGTTTCCAAGGACGTTCTAAGCTAAAGCAGTGTAATAAAAGCTCTTTCATACTAGCAAGTAAGTAAAATTGCTTTGCTAAACAAGGTTAACAGTAGATGCTATTGCTCATATAGCATTTAGAATCTGGAACCAGGTGGTGGTGGCGCACACCTTTTAGTTCCAGCACTTGGGAGTCAGAAGCATGTGGATCTTTGTGAGTTCCAGGCCAGCCTGGTCTACAGAATGAGTTCCAGGACAGCCAGGGCTACACTGAGAAACCCCGTCTTGGAAAACTATTGGTGTGCTTTATGTAAAAATACTGAAAAGTTACAAAGCTCATATTAATTGAAATGTGTAAAATTTAAGTTACTTTCTATTTAACATGCTTGTTTTATTTACCAACCCCCTTCTAGGATCGTAGGGCATCAGAAAAACAAAAAGAAATAGAGAGAGTAAAAGAGAAGCAACAGAAAGAACTCAGCAAACAAAAACAGATTGAGAAGGTATCTGTTCTTTTATGTAATCTTGATGATGACTAACTCAGCACTGTGACTTTCAGATTTTAGCTTCCAAATGGAAGTCCATCCATTTATTTCTTGTAGTTCAGCCACCTAATAACTAGATGACTCACTGCACTGCAGAAAAGCGTTGACATCTGAAGTGCATAGTAGTTGCCATGAAATATAACTTTCTGTTAAAGAGACGTGCTAGAATTTTCATATACCAATAATAGACTTAATTGTCTTGCCACATTGACTATGAAAGAGAAAATACTTAAGAATCATCAAGTGTCATATTCATATATGTACACATATAATGCACACACACTCATGTGCACAGCATTCAGCACAGCTTGGACGGTTCTGGAAAGGACAGACACTGAGGAAAAGATGGACAGATGCACAGAGAAGCTGGCATGGGAGGCTCTTTCTGATGGGGGCACCTACTGCTGCAGAACCACCCTCAACTCAGTTCTCAGCACAGCTCTTGTGGAGTGGCGAGCAGTCTCAGGCCAGAGTTATTCCTGAGGCACGAGAGGGGAAGGGAAAACTGAGGTTGCTAGTTTTTGCACACTCAACATCTGCACACAGGCCAGAAGGTAGCTTTGCCAGTTCCCGTGGGTTGGAGACACTGCAGTCCTTGACGAGGCTGTGTGCATGTCAATAGCACACACTCAGGCGTCTTCCATTCCCCACAGCACACTTCTACATTTCTTTGTGGTACTAAGGATCAAACCTACAAAAGGATAATTAAAACTACACAGTTTTCAGAGTCAAAACTTGGTTAGGTGATCCAAGAGATTGTAGGATCCTGTTAAGGGTGAAGGTCAGAAAACAAGAGAGAAAGTAACAGGAATGTAAAGAACACAGAGAGACCAGTCAGAGCTGAAGTGAGTGGACAGCTGGGGCTGAGAGAGAAGTGCAAAGACGGCACAGAAGTAACTGAGGGAGAGGGACACTGGAGAGCAGCAGGGGATGGCATGAGGATGACGATGGAACTTCCTGACTATGAGACTGCTTACATGGTGTGCAGTGACATATGAGGATTGTCAGAACTTGGTTATGAGCAATAGAACAAGAAAGGGAGGATAATATAGCAAATTTTGTTTGCTTTTATGGAGTTATTCATATTATGCCAAAATTCACCCTGTTGTCTCTCGTTGGTTGAATATAGCTTTTCTTTTCATCAGATTTCCAGAATTAGGCATGTGATAGGATTGGAGTAGCTCTCAAGTACCGTCAAAGTGTATAGAACATTAATTAGTTTAGAAAAGTGTAGTTTTCCATTTGATTGCTGACAGGTAATTTAGTTTCTTTTTTATCTTTCCACCAGGACTTGGAAGAACAGAGTCGATTGATAGCTGCTTCCAATAGACCAAACCAGGCTGGTAGTGAGGGCCAGCTTGTCCTTAGCAGTAGCCAATCAGAGGAGAGTGATTTGGGAGAAGAAGGGAAAAAAAGAGAATCAGAAGCATAAACTTGCTTTTGCTTTTTGACTGATTTCCCTTGTCCCCTGGAATGTGGCACAAGGTAACCATGTTAAAGACCAACGAGGGGACTAAACTTCATATTTCCTTGTTTCAGCTTCATTTAAAAAAGACTAAATGCGATAACAGGTTATATTGAGCATATTCTCTTAAAAATAAAATTCTATGCATTATCATCAAATTCTGCTTACCCAAATAAGACCTGCTTACTTTCCTCTAGTTGACTGCTGAGGAATCACACTTGCTCAAGATATTTTTCTTTGAAATTGTGAACACTTTTTATCATGCACTGTAATAGGCTGAATCCATAAGAAATCATCTATTCTTCAGAATCTGACATTCGTGTGTGCTCTCTCCCTTTCTTTAGGAATGTCTTGTTGGTAGTGAGGGAGTATTCAACCGAATGAGCTTAAAATTTCTTGTATGGAGACTTCTACAGGTTTGCAAATGCTCTAACAATGTCGAGTATGCAGTAGGATTTGTGTGAAGTCACCAGGGCAGGGGCACGTGGTGCTGTTGATTTCAGGGCATTTTCTGGGCTTGCTCCATGTCTCTGATGGCAGTGTATCATGGCAGGAGGAAAGAAACTCAAGTGTCTGTTGGTGTTTGATGCAGTTCTTGGTATTTTGTCACCATATTCTTAGTTCTCAGGTTGGGACTTTACTTATTGCTGAAGAGCAGTAAGGGTTAGGATAAAATTTCAGAATTTATTGAAAGATTTTTGTTGTTGTTAAAACATTTTATATTAGAATTGACATGTAAAGGAAGTGTTGTAGAGTGATACATTGTATTTTCTGTATTGTGAAATAATTTTTATTGATAATATGTGGCATTTCAGAAGATGTTCTATAACATTTATGTTTACTGCTTAGAATAAAAATATGCAGTTTTGTTTAGAGAACATAATCTTTTAAATTTCAGACTGATAATCCCAGTATTTTCATAATCTTACATTTTGATAATGAATTGAATTGCCACTTTATATCCACAAAGGCAAATAACTAATTTATGAGTGTAGAATAATTTGTACTAATTATTGTAAATACTTTTACTTTTCAAATGAGTAAAAGCTCTAATTCCATGAAAGACTGAAAGGAACTGAACACCTCAAATAGTGTAGAACCAAGGAAGGAGTTCGCTTGCTACTAAGGTTAACATGCCCTACATTTATTTTCTGTCAAAACTCTTCCTTCACTCAGATTTTAATTTTTGTTTATAGATTTTGTTTTCATGTGTTCTACATGAAAAAGTGTGTATATATATACATATGTATACAGGTTAAATATATTGAGTAAGGTATTTTACATAGTCATACATTTATAGATTTTCAAGAGGTTAACCACTAATTTCACAAGTAATTTTCTCTTAGTTCTGAGTTAGAAGTGGCTTCTGTTTTAGTTTTCAGAATATAGCTCAGTTTCACACTCTGTAAGTACAGTTGTCTGTAGTAATGAGATAACTATATATATATATATATGTTTTTAATCCATGTGCCAAATGGGAGTAATGGTTATTTATGTTACCCAATATACAGCTAATAGGTAGCAATTTATGGAGTACATTTGGTTAAAATTAAATTTTGTGCTTACTAAAAGGAATGCTTTTACATTAGTATTTCCTTCTTGTTAAACTAGAAATTGCTGTGGTCAGTACTTGATTAGTTGTGGCAAGTCTTGCTTTAAGACTTTTTTAAGATTGGTAAGGTTTCTGTTTTTTGTTGTTGGTTTTATTTGGTTTGTTTTTGTTGTCTGTTTGATTTTGGCAGTGCTGGAGATCAAACCCAGTTTCTCACACATGCTAAGTAAGCCCTCTACCACTGAGCTGCGGCCCTATCCCAAGTTTTCAGTTTGTGAGGTCTTTTCTTGATGGAAGTTGTCCTCCGACTTCAGGGGAAATCTGTTGTTTCACAGTAAGAGCGCTCACCATCAGGGGACAGTTCAGGGGAAATCTGTTGTTTCACAGTAAGAGTGCTCACCATCAGGGGACAGTTCACTCACTAGTGCTTTGCGTGGAAGCAAAAAATTCAGGCCAGTGGTGAGGGTTTTCTAATTCTTTTTAAGTCACATTTCATAGGAATTCCCACAGTTGCTGTCATGTCATAGGCCAGACCAGAATGTGTTCCAGTGCCCAGGACATGTCCAGAGTGAGTTGAACGGTTTTAGATGATTCAGCCTCTGTTCTGTCACTATGAAACTGTCTGGGACTCTGCACATCAGCTTTAATCACCTCTCCTGCTTAAGGAAGGTTGCTTGGACACTTGTTCTCAAATGTTAGTGCTGAACTTGTTCTGGTGTACTGTCCTCCAAAATCTCCCCACTTTTTAGAAATGAACAAAATGTCTTTAAAAAGGGAAAGCAACATAGCCTACCTAATTCTGCTGAGTACTCTTATTACCTGTATTGACAGTACTTGCATAACTCTGATAATAAACTCAATAGAAAATCACTTATTTCTCTATCCTTGCTAGAGACTTGCTATAAACTTGCTAGGGACTGAAACTGTCCCTTTGAACAAAGTCCCTCAATCCCTGAAACTAATCTTGTTTTTGCCATGTATTTAAAGATTACTGGGTGTTTAATTTCAAAAGAATTCCTAGCTCCACAGTGTTGGGATAAGGAAGTTGTCATTATTATTGAGAAAAGGATAGTAGGATGTACATAACATTGTAGGTAACATGATTCTGTGTGGTGGATGCTCACAAGCTACTACAGGAACCACACTGCTTACAGTTTGAACTGACAATGCTGGTAGACCCCGAGAGCTACTATTTACAAAATCTTCTGGCATCGAAATGAAACGGAAATACTGATTTGCTTTTGATAGCAAGTCTGAACATTTAGACTATACTTTAAATATTAAACATACCAGTGTATGTAACCAGCAAGCGTTTCATCTTGTTTTTAGCAAGTTTGATTTATTTCCTTTTAGATTTTATTCTACATTAATAACAGAGATCTGAAGCTAGAACCATGCTGAACCTTTAATCAGTCTCTGGCTACACTTGTAAGAAACTAACTTCAGTTGATGTGAATACTGGGTTAAGTGATAGTTAATGTGCAAGAGTGTATATTTTGTGATTTTTGTAATTAGTTAAATTGATTAACCTATTTCACTGATGATATTAACCAACTGTACAGTATACAATTAAAAATCATGCAGCATCTCTCTTTAAAATTGGATTTGTGATCATGGTATAGCTTGTGGGGCAGAGAACTTATTTTTTCATTTGTCAAAATAGGTATTTGCTGACAAGGGTTCAAGAAATATGTTGTTGTTGGAATTTTTTAAATGTGTAATAAAGTCCATAATTTTTATACAGACTTTATGTATATTTGATAGTTACTATGAATTTTATTTCTCCCAGTGATTTCAGATGTTTTTAGTCAGGGCTAGAGGGTAGCTCAGCAGTCAAGAGCACATATTCCTCTTCCAGAGGCCTGGGTTCAGTTCCCAACACCCACATAAGACGGCTCACATTTGCCTGCATGTCAACTTCAGTGGACCCGACCCTTCTGACATCAGTGGGCACTGTGCTCACACACACATGCACCCACACAGACGCACACACATACATATAATTAAAAATAGCAAGACAAATATGTTATAACACTCTGGCCCCACAATAGCCAAAATAGGGGGACAAGTCACTTACCAAGAAAATTTGACTTTTTATAGCAAACGAAAGAGACTTCAATAACTAATTACTCCAGTAAATTTTTATTTTTTTTATGACATATGCTTTATGTTGTTATCCTACTTGAACAAACTCCTCTAGTTAAAAAGGCAGGTTTTGCCGGACGTTGGAGGCAGAGGCAGGCGGATCTCTGTGAGTTCAAGGCCAGCCTGGCCTACAGAGTGAGTTCCAGGAGAGGCTCCAAAGCTACATAGGGAAACCCTGTCTCGGGAAACAAAACAAAATAAGGTAGGTTGTTTGCTCCAGCTTAAGTAGCTTGGGCCTGTAGTTTTAATACTGATGAATTTATTCCATGTGCTCTTTGTAGTTTAATTATAGCACCTAAAGGTATATACTTGTGAAGGGAGTGGATGATATTAACTAGAAATTGATAACTTAGTGCATGTGTGACCTAAACGAGCACTTCAAGTGCACTAATATTGCAAAAGCTTTAGTGTAAAAATAATTATAAGAGCCAGGTGGTGGTGGTGCATGCCTTTAATCCCAGCACTCAGGAGGCAGAGGCAAGTGGATCTCTGTGAGTTTGAGACAAGAGCTAGTTCCAGGACAGCATCCAAAACCACAGAGAAACCCTGTCTTGAAAATCAACAACAAAAAACAAAATTTATGTGTGTTTACTGAAGTAGCTAATGGATCCCTGTATCAGAAATCAAAGAGCTTTAATTACACTAAAGCATTAAGACTGAATATGGACTTGAGTGTGACGGCTGACTGGGCTGCAGTGACATGGAGTGTGTCACCCACCTCTCTGCAGTGCCATTTGAGTAAGACATCTGTGGCTAAGTGAACACCTGTGTTTTTCCTCAGCTCTCATATACAGAAAGCTGCATATAATCAAAAAGTTTACCTTACTTATATACAGTATAGCATGAGTAAAAATTTCTAATTAAAAATTTCAGTATATGCGACCCCCGGGAAGGGGACCCCCGACCCGCGGGGGTGAGGTGATGAGGGTCGCTACTAATTTAGTGGGCCTTCACGAGCAGATCCGATCTGGAAAGTGAACTTCAAGAGGTTAATGGAAACAGGCTCAAGACAACGTTCGCTGATCAAGAGCCTTTATTTTTTGGGGCGCGCTGGAATTTATAGAGGAAGGACCTCAGGGGGTGGTACAAGCATGTCAATCAAGTCTCAATTCAAATATACACCAAATACGGTAAAGACAAAGCTGTAATTTTCCATCAGTCATTAGTTGCATTCCACAAATGCTTGTCAGCGTAAGTCAGGTGCAGGAATTAGGGAGGGGTAGGAAGTATACAACAGAACACTTTAACCTTTTGTTAACAAAGACAATTACTCTGTAAGGGTACTTCCCTCTGGCTAGGTGGGTGGGCTGCCCCGTGTAAATTTAACTTTAATGGTTAGCCTTTTCCTTTGTCTCAAGGGCATGTGTGCTCGCAGTCACGTAGGCGGAAGGCCAAGAAACGGTTGACAGACTCCATTTTGTTCAAGGTTCTAGCAGTCCCCAACATCTCCCCCTTTTCTATATAGTAAAAGAAGAGAGCAATTGGGTGGAGTGCCTGTCTTAGGTTACCTGGTGGGCTTCCAGTTCTGGACATGGCGAGAGAGGATACGAATTAAGTTTTTGCCGGCAATGTTTAGAGAGCCATGTTTGCTCCCAGATTCTGGCACCAAGCTATCCCCGTCTTAAGCATCTCCACAGCCTGGAGCAGAGTGAACGCGGGCGGTTGGCCAGGTACTCAAACTCCTGAAAGCTCAAAGGCTGGAATGTAGGTTTGTCTACAGCCTCAGGTTCTTCGGGGTCTTGTTGAGAGAGCTGCTGATAGTGAACCTGAACTGAATTTTTGGTAGCCTCATCAACCTGATTTTTAACAAAACCAGTAAGGCGACGAAATGCCCAAGGACCAAAGGAAATAAGTAACATGAAGCCAATAAACGGTCTTAACAAACTAGGCAGCAAAGTCGATAGCCAGGGGGAGGTAGAGAACCAATTTTTGTACCAAGATTCACTTTGATCCAAATTTCTTTTTGTTTCTTCCAGACTCTGTTCAACTCTTCTGATACTATCTCTAACTAATCCTGATTTGTCTTTGAAAAAGCAACATTCCTCTTTAAGGGCGGCACAAACTCCTCCCTCCCGCAAAAAGGCGAGGTCGAGACCTCGGCGGTTTTGTTGTACCACTTCAGCTAAGGAACCAACAGTCTGTTCTAAGTAATCTAAACCTCTTTTTAGCTCATCTACGTCTCTAATAACAGTGCGGGTTAGAGCATTAATAGAGTCCTTTGTGTGGATTAGGGAGTAAATTCCTGTGCCAGCACCTGTCGCACCCAGACCAACCAATATGGCTAGTGTGAGGGCGGTGACCGGCTCTCTTTTTTGGCGAGAGAGAGTTACAGTTGGATCACTTTGGGGCAATAAATCAGATTCAGGGCGAACAGTCAATTTGGGCACAAGTACAACAAGGACGCAGTAGTCCTTGTGCGCAAGAAAAACATCTACAATAATATGCGGGGATAACCCTGTGGAGCAAGCAAAAAAGGTGAGGTTGGGGGCAATAAGGAAGGAAGCATGAGTAGCAACTTGCATGGTTTGAGTACATGCTTCTAACAGCGGGGTGGGGGGAAGCATACGTGGTCCCAAAAGGCAGAGTCCAGATCCCACGACCTGTCCTAAGGTCATGCCACGTGGTTGTGGCTGCGTGCCCCAGCGAAGCAGATTGGTGTCGTTGGTGTAGATGGGTGAGCCGAAGGCTGCAATTTCTTCGTAGAATGGAGGGATGGGCGAATAGCAAATCCAGCAGCGCTCATAGGTGGTGTTGGCGAGTGCCTGGGCTGAGGCGTTGACCATCTGAAGGATGAGGTCCGCGGTGGAGACTGGACCGGCGGGCATGGTGGGTTGATAAACAGTGGTGGCAGCAGCGGGAGCTGGAGAATGGAGATTAGGACCAGGGCGAGGGGCGGCAGCCTTGGGTAGGAATGAGCCACCACCAGAGGGGTATAAAAAAGGATTGGGGCCAACAGCAATAGGGCGAAAGGAAGGGATTTCCTTCAAAAGTCTAATGGAAAAGGTGAGGCCTGGGTCCGTGCCAGAAACATATAGGCGTAGACCCCAGTGAGCTCCTCGGGAACCTTCCCAGAGGAACCTTTTTCCTGCAGCCGTAAACTGGATATGTAGGAGGTTGCACCAACTGCGTGAACAAAGGGGATTAAGTGGTGGTGGGCCAGAAGTAGGCAGTCTGGCAGGGGGATTAAATCGCCTTACAGTTATGAGGTCCCAGGAAGAGGAGGGATTCCAATAGGTGTCACCTGTGGTTTCACAACCCCATTGTGCGCAATAAAAACTTTCTGATTGCCCACACTTTCCTGTTAGGGATCGCTCCCTATGTGGGCCGGGGCAAACGTAAATGGGTGCCATGGTTAGATAGGTACGTGCAATGGGGTTATAACACCCAGGAACACTACTATAGCGGTTATTTGTGTTCACGGGTTTGGGTTGGGGCATGAAGTTATTAGGTGTGCCCCAAGTTTTTCCAGCCGCGCCCATGGCGAGTGCACACAGGTCGACAAAAAGATCAGGCCATGGGATAGAACCGGCAAGTTGTGAGGTAGCATTGGCTATGTCCCCGGCCTCATTGGTAATAATCCAAGTATAGTTGTATACTCGGTAGGGATTGGCAGGGATGCAAGGAGGGAAACTAAAAATCAAAAGGAGAAATGGAAGAAGTAGCAGGCGATGTGGTGTTATCTTCACTGGGAGTTTTGTTATCAACAGCATCTGAAAGAGAAAACAGGAGATTCCTCAGGGGCTCTTTCCCTGGGAGGGTTATAAAGCTTGACCAGTTTGTCTGGAAGCCAGCGCGTTTCTCCATTGCTGGTATTATGAATGCAAGCATGTCCTTTTCCCCAGATAAGGACTGGGTGAGGACCGAGCCATTGGCCCGTGTGCACATCCTTCCAGAGAACCTGTCGAAAGTTTTCACAGGTGGAAGGGTGCCAGAGCCGATCAGCAGATCAGCAGCTGATTGGCCATTGTTGTCCAGAGAGAGAAAATTGAGCACAAAAAGTGCATGATTTAAAAGTAGGCGATGCTTGCCTTTGCGAGCGTACAGGGTTTCGCTTTCGGAAGAAAGCTTAAAGAGCATATTTTTTAAGGTCTGATTAGCTCGCTCTACAACTCCCTGTCCTTGAGGGTTAAAGGGAATTCCTGTTTTGTGGGTAATGCCAAATTTTTTACAAAAATCCTTAAATTTAGAACTAATGTACCCTGGGCCATTGTCAGTTTTAATGGCGATAGGGACAGGAATAATAGTAAAACAATGTAAAATATGGGCAATAACGTCTTTGGTGGCCTCTCCTGTTTGGAGAGAGGCACAAACAAAGCCACTAAAGGTATCCACCGTAACATGAATATATTTAAGATTGCCAAAGGCAGAATAATGAGTAACATCCAATTGCCAAAGCTCACCAGGCACAAGACCACGGGGGTTGACTCCTGTATGAGGCTCAGGCAAGTATGAGGCTCAGGCAAAAGGGAGAGGCAAGCTTTGCACGATTTAACTATCTCTCGAGCCTGTTCACGAGTGATGGAATATTGTAGCCTAAGTGTTTGTGCATTAAGGTGATGTAATCTATGAGCCTGTTGTGCTAACTGTGAAGAGTTAGACT